ACACACGGCCACACAGAAATGTGTACACACAGCCACACAGAAATGTGTACACGGAGTCACACAGAAATGTGTACACACAGCCACACAGAAATGTGTACACACGGCCACACAGAAATGTGTACACACGGCCACACAGAAATGTGTACACGGAGTCACACAGAAATGTGTACACACAGCCACACAGAAATGTGTACACACACAGCCACACAGAAATGTGTACACACAGAGTCACACAGAAATGTGTACACACGGCCACACAGAAATGTGTATGCACGGCCACACAGAAATGTGTACACACGGCCACACAGAAATGTGTATACGGAGTCACACAGAAATGTGTACACACAGCCACACAGAAATGTGTACACACGGCCACACAGAAATGTGTACACACGGCCACACAGAAATGTGTATACGGAGTCACACAGAAATGTGTACACACAGCAACACAGAAATGTGTACACACGGCCACACAGAAATGTGTACACACAGCTACACAGAAATGTGTACACGCAGCCACACGCCCGTGTGCATTGCGCAATAAACCAAGCCGTGCACTGTGGTCCACAATGCCCTGACGAACAATGGGATGAAGATGAACCATTGTCAGGATTGACGAACAATGGGATGAAGATTAACCATTGTCAGGATTGACGAACAATGGGATGAAGATGAACCATTGTCAGGATTGACGAACAATGGGATGAAGATTAACCATTGTCAGGATTGACGAACAATGGGATGAAGATGAACCATTGTCAGGATTGACGAACAATGGGATGAAGATTAACCATTGTCAGGATTGACGAACAATGGGATGAAGATGAACCATTGTCAGGATTGGAACGAGACCCGCAATGCAGCAGGAGCAGCTGCCAGACCTGGGGGTGGGGAGAGGAGGAGAGGAAGGGAGAGGTGGAGGGGCTGATGTTCACAGCTAGGAGTTGATACAAAAGCTCAGATTTCTGCAGCTACCGTTGACAAGATTTATATCTCTGTTTAGTTTAAACACACGTTTTCACTCTCCTCCCCATCCCGCCCAGATTTTACTCCAATTGGGCTACTGTCGTCATGGTGAGACAAAGCGCCCGTCCATGTGGTTGGTGGTGACTCGAACTGGAACCTGGGTGGTCAATCTTCCAACCTTCACAGATGAATTCAACCTATCCTGGCTCATCTGTTCACCAATGCGTCCTCATCCCGAACACTCGTCAAACCTTGATGTTCTCGTGTAAAATGCTCTAGAAAAGTTTGTAAAAGTGGGTGTCATGGGAAATCACTTTGATTTGTTTTGCCAGGTCAGGCCCACTGACCTGCATAGCTCTTTTTTCAGAAGCGACCTGGCCATCACGAATGACAGTATCAGGGAAAGTGGCTTATTATCACTTGGAAATGTACAGCAGTCAAATACTCTAAGCGCGTGATGTTCATTATAAATGTGGAGGGAATAACCGGAGGACACGGAGGAAAATCCACGCGACCACGGGGAGAGAGACATGCAAACTCCAAATATATCAATATTTGGGTCGGGATCAAACCCACGACCTCCTGTATACCAGGCGAGGTAGTTAACATCTCGCCACATTGGCGCCATCTTGGTAACCACTCAACGACATTTGTCAGTCGACAAAAACGAAACTGATTACAGTTCTACGTAAGATTATATTTCAATAATCTTTGAAATCCTTTGACCATCAGTCCTTCATCTACAGCATCGCCAATTCTGACCTCCCTGACATCCGCAAGAAGGTGTGGCTCTGGACTCACTCCTCATTGGACAGGTCGACCACTTTAAATATCTCAGGAATTACCCTGGACTCAAAACTGCCTTTCAAGGATCCACATTGACCAACATTGCCAACAAGATAACAAAAAATAATTGTATACCTACACAGATTCCGTATGAATATAGTTGAAGCCACCATCCTGCCATTCGTGTGATTACTGTGATACCCCGCCTACCGCTAAGCTCCTGAATCCACCTTCTTAGGTATCACTCCACTATACCACTCCGCTCTCCGTATTGCCCTGGGCTCCCCTCAATAGAACTCACCGTTGCGTCCTCTACAATCACTCAAATCTGTCCCTCCTCCACATACGGAGAGACCAACCAATGGGGCTGTCTTCATCCTCGAGGTCCTCTTTAACAAATCCGCCAAACACCTAAAACACCACTTCGTTTCTCCAGCTAACCCTACCCCCAGTGCCGGATTATCCCAGTAGCACAAGTAGCTATGTACATGTGTAGTAGCTACATATGTAGTAGCTACACATGTAGTAGTAGCTACATATGTAGTAGTAGTAGCTACATATGTAGTAGCTACACATGTAGTAGCTACTACAATACGTGTAGTAGCTACGGGCCCCGCACTTTCAAGGGCCCCGCGCTAAATGCTTTCAAGCTTTCAATTCCGATTCAGTGATTCTGCACTTGCTCTATTACTATAGTACTATACCGCCTTATTCTTAGCTCTTTCGGTAAAGTCACGTTGAAGGGAAACAATAAAATAATAAAATATATCTAAAACAATAAAAATTCTCACGACGTTTCGACCATAACACAAACGGTCGTTTGTGTGTTATGGTCGAAACGTCGTGAGAATTTTTATTGTTTTACATATTTTATTATTTTATTGTTTCCCTTCAACGTGACTTTACCGAAAGAGCTAAGAATATGAATTACTGCAGTCACGAAAGCTTTAAATCAAAATTTACTACACCGCCTTTAACTTTTACGAACGACCGGGTGTTTAAGGTTAGCGATTTGTCGTATTATCTGGCTGTATAGCAAATGAAAAAATACAATTAATTTACTATGCAAGTAAAAAATGTATGTTTTAATATTTATGTTTTTTTTTATAACATCATGCTACAGGCCCTGCACTAGCTTCATCCGGCACTGCCCACCCCCCCAATAGCCTCAGAAGTGCTGCTGCTGCCTTATTCACACAAAAAACTTTGAGTTGGTAAAAAAAAAAGAATCCTTCCACGTTGCTGCATCACGTTTGTGCAACCCCCTTGGCTGCTCATCCTTTAGTTTAAAGAATAATAGTTTAATAGTTTAAATATTGCATCTACAGCTTGGTTCTCTCCCTTCGCTCCCCCACGAAACCAAACAACGCAGGAGCTTGACTCGCACCTAACTTGTTTCTTCGTCTGTCGCCTATTGCTCTCGTATAATATTCGCAACGCTGCCTGAATCCACGCGGTGCTTCGCTGACAGCCGCTAATCGCACCTCCGATGAGCAGGGCAGGGCGAGGAACGGTGCGAGATAAGTTCAACGTACGTGGATACAAATACACCCATTTGTAACTTGTGCAATATTCCCGAAGGAGCCTGTTGTTGTGCTCCTACCCTGCAATGTCGACGTTTGTTGTCTTTGTTCATTTGTTGTGGCTGCTGCTGCAGCTGTGGTCACGCACCACGTGTAAAATAGCTGGGGAACCCGGCAACACGGGGCCATCACCATCATCATCATCCGTGTAACAAATCGAATTTGTTACCGCGGTGGCTAGGAGATGTTAATATACTCGCCTGGTATGAGGGAGGTCGTGGGTTCGATCCCGACCCTGACGCCTGCTGTATATTTGGAGTTTGCGTGTCTCTCTCTCTCTCTCATCATCATCACGGTGGCTATGTGATGTTAACTACCTCGCCTGGTATACAGGAGGTGGTGGGTTCGATCCCGACTCTGACGCCTGCTGCTGCTGTATATTTGGAGTTTGCGTGTCTCTCTCTCCCCGTGGTCGCATGGATTTTTCTCCGGTTTTTCCCCTCCACGTGAATAATGATCAACGCTCACGCGGCTGCTGCTGTGAATGTCCACGCGAGGAGGAGCTCACTTCGTTGAGCTTATCATTTGTGAAGGCCATGTCGCTTCTGAAACAAATATCTTTTTAGCTGAGTGAGCATTACCTGGTAAAAAATAAGCAATAGTTTGTAGTTTTAAATGTTCATGGGTGATAAATGTTATTTCCTAATTGCTTATGCCTCAAAAGTACAGAAAAGGGCTATTATTATTCCCCACAAACTTTGCTTTTGTGACCAGGACAGTGATATCTTGAAAATTACCTCTTTTCAATGAGAACACGTGGTGGACATTTGTGTCATTCCTTCACGTAAAGTCCTGGTCACAAAAGCCAAGTTTGTGGAGAATAATAATAGCCGTTTTATATACTTTTGAGTCATAAGCAATTAGCAAAGAACACTTACTATCCAGGAACAAAAATCGTGTTCATTATTCTTCTGTCCGCCATCAGTGGCGTGAGCAAAGCGCGCGTCTCTACAACGTCTCTACAACGCCTCTACAACGTCTCTACAACGTCTCTACGTCTCTACAACGTCTCTACGAACTCCTCGACTAGTTTCGCCGTCCGCCTCGCTCGCGTATCGTCATCGTCGCCTCCTCCTCCTCATCGTCCTCCTCTTCTTCCTCATCCTCGTCCTCCTGATGCATTGAAAAATTTGATACTCCGACTGATGCTTCTGTTGTTGTGGAGTAACTCATGCAGCCAGCTATGGCTCTAGGATTTGGTGTTACATGTTATTTATGTAGTTTATTGTAAAAATTCGGTCACAGTCCCTGTGATCACTGTTACGTTGCAATTATGGCTTTATTTTTTGGTGATTTGGAAAACGTGTTTTTGTTTGGACATATTTGTTTTGTTGTAGTACGGAGTTAGACTGATGGCCTTAATCTAAGTTTTTGTGTTGTTGTTTGACTTGCATCCCACTGGGATTTTTTTGCACACAGCGTTGGTGTACGGTGCTTTTTTCAGGAATATTTTTGCTGTTTTTTTTCATGGATTTTCTGTTTGCACAGTCACACAAAGTCACTTTAAGATGTTTTTCTTGTTCGTGTTTTTGTTTTTTTGTTTGTCTGTTGCGGTTGCACCCGATCCAAGAGCCGAATGGCTCACAGGGCTATACCAAAAATAAATAAACTGAAAACTGAAATCCTCTTCCTGCTGCTCCTGCTCCTCCTGCTCCTGCTCCCCAGGGGTCTACCAGCGACGGAAGAAGGCGGCGCTGGGCTTCACGAGCGCGCTGCTCACCCTCGCCGCAGCCATCCTCGTCACGGGCCTCGTGGGCACCACGCGCACGGACAACGTCGCCGTCGTCGGCTTCTACGCGGGCATCGTTGTGAGTCCACCACGGCCTCGTCTCTCTGTTTCAGCTTTCAGTTTTCATGTATTGGGTAGAACCCTGTGAGCCATGCGGCTGTTGACTCGGGTGCAACCGCAACAAAACAAAAAAACACGAACGAGGAAAAGATCTTTTAAGTGACTAAACGCCAACAGAAAAATCCAGGAAAAAAACAGCATAAGTCTTCCAGAAAAAAAAATATTTCAATGCTGTGTGCAAAAATCCCAGTGGGATGCAAGTCAAACAATAACTAACCATAAGACAATTGAGATTAAAATTATCAGGCTAACTCTGTACTACAACAAACAAAACATGGCGAAGCCAAAACGTTTTCAAAATCACCAAAAATAAAGCTATGAAAACAATGTAACCGTGATCATAGGAACTGCGATTCAAATTTAACAGTAAACGATATATACATAACACGTACGACCAAACTTTGCAAGCCATAGCTGGCTGCATGAGTGACACACAACCGGTTAGTGCTGTGCTAGCAACCAATTGCCACGTTCTGTTTTGCGTTACAAAGCTCACGAATTGTCCGTGTTGCGTGGTGGTGGTGGCGGCTTTAACGACACATTTTATACATTTTTACGCGATCTAACCCCAACAACAACCAAAAACCCCTCTCATTTATTACGGGATCCTCTTTCCCTCTGATATCAGGAGGCCACTGGGAGCTATGGGGCCGTCCATAAGTGACGTCACGCGATTTTGGACGGTTTTTAACCCCCCCCCAGGTGTGTGACGTCATTTATGGACGGCCCCTATGCACTTTTAAATCATCGCCTAGATTGACAAACTCATTTCTTTAGAAATTATTTTTTGTGTTTAGTTTGTGTTTAGTTTGTGTTTAGTTTGTGTTGTCCTTCTCCCCGACACCTCTGATGAGCGCGGTTTGCTCCGTACGGTGTGAAAGAAGTTCAACCCCCATGCTTACCTGGGTGGTGCTGCGGTGTTTTCTGCAGAGGGGAAACGGCAGTGATCGTGCGCTGCTGCAGGGCGGGTAGGCGTCATACCGTAGGTGTCACACCGTAGGTGTCATACCCACAGGTGTCATACCGTAGGTGTCATACCCGCAGGTGTCATACCGTAGGTATCATACCGTAGGTGTCATACCCATAGGTGTCACACCGTAGGTGTCATACCGTAGGTGTCACACCATAGGTGTCACACCGTAGGTGTCATACCGACGGTGTCATACCCGCAGGTGTCATACCCGTAGGTGTCATACCCGCAGGTGTCATACCGTAGGTGTCATACCCACAGATGTCATACCGCAGGTGTCATACCAGGTACTTGTGCAGTTACAGTTCATCCATTGCCCATGCGTCACAATGTATACAAGCAAAAACAGTAAAAAAAATAACAGCGTGTCAATTTCTCTTGGGTTCGTGTTTGCCAAGGAACCGAGAGGCAATTGGTCCGTAATGAAGTGGCTGATTTGCGTCAGATGGTGCCGTGGTCCCTTTTCGCTCGGTGAAAACGACTTTGGTCTTTGAGAACTTAATTCGGGGGGGGGGGGGGGGTTGGTTTGTTTTCTCCCCGCCAGCGTAACTCATTGCTTAGTGTGGTTTTTAGCAGCTATTAGGATCGTTTGGCTTACGATCAGATGTGTTTCCCGCGCGGAGGACATCTGCTTTGAATCAACACACAGTGCGCCGGGCGCAAGCGCTAGCTGCTGATGATCATATGAATACAATTCACTGTTCTGAATCCTCAAATATCTGGGGTTTTTTTTTTAATGGGGCAAGAAAGTGGGGGGGGGGGGGTAGAGAGAGTGTTTAGAGAGTGAGTTGCTCTGTGTGGTTCCTCCATATCGCCTCCGATCCACCCTCTGCAAGAGATCTTCTTAAACCCACAAACAGCATCAACATCAGCATCGTCGTCATAATAGGATATGAAAAGTCAAAACAGGAATTCCCAGCATGCTTTGCGCGTAAAGGTGAGCCCACCGTGCCCGTGTAGAATCTGCACACAGCCTTTGTCATGGGGCCTTTCTATTTAAAGCAGCAGTAGGACAACGTCGCAACGTTACAGTGGTTCCATCATGATTACGACTCATGCGCATAAGTTGTGCCGTGTCCTGCTGAGCATTCCTTCGCCATAGGACTGCCTGGACGGACAAAAATTGGCACGCAGTCTCAACCATTGTGCGCTTATCTTCGCTGGAGTTATATATCGCATTAACCTAGGCGCTTTATAACAGAATTAACGATACAAGGTGTACATTTTTATTTAAAGCTTTCGTGACTGCAGGGATTCACATTCTTGGTTCTTTCGGTAAAGTCACGTAGAAGGGAAACAATACAAATATAAAACAATAAAATTATCACGTTTCGACTGCAACACAAGCAATCATCATCAGGTGTGAAAACCACAGCAAGAACATTTGAAAAAAGTGGCGGGTTTTTTTTTTTCTTCCAAACCCTATTGTTACGCTGGCCAGCGTTTTATAGTTTCATTCGCCGACGGTTCAAGGAGCCGTGATGCTTTTTTGAAACGAGCAGATTGCTGGGCCCTCTGCTCAGGCGGACGCTGCTGTCCTTCCCCTTGCCTTGCAGCTGGGCTTCGGAGCGTTTCTTGGCCTCCTCGGAGTGAGTCTCGTGGAGAACCGCAGGCAAATGGTGAGTCCAGCGACAACCCACGCCATTGTCTCTCTCCCCCGCTCATGCTACCTTCAAAAGGGGTGAAGGCGCAGCCCCTGCAGTGGCTCGCCTAAGACAACTGCTGGCGGATAGGGCCCTCCACTAGGGGGAGCCCCCGCTGCATGGGTGTTTGGCCTACTCTTCCACGCTGGACAGACGTCTTGGAAGAAGTGGAAGTACCGACACTTCATCCCACAACACACGGCCTTCTCATCGACTGTGGTATTTATTTGGTTAAAAAAATAACATTTATTAGTTTGATTGCCCCTTCTTTACCCGAGAGAGTCTCACTGAGTCTCAAGACTCTTCTTCAGGAGGGTCCTGCCAAGTATTCCTTGCTATATTTTCCCCAGTAGGGGACAATGTTACTAGTGTGTAATGTGCAGGCGATGTTTCAGCATTGGGATGCGTGACCACAACACCAGCCACAGCGTGCTTTGTTTTAGCTGTGGAAGGCGACAGGATACACCGGAGGAAACCCTGTGCCGAACAGGTGGGGGGGGGGAGGACACGCACACTCCACACAGAACGGTGACCGAGGCGGGAGTCGAACCCGGGTGGTTGGTGCTGTGAGTCGAGTGGGTGGGGGGGGGACGTGGCGAGTCGGTGAATCCAATGAACGCGTGCGTGGTTACTCCGCCGACACGTTCGGGTTCAGCGTGCGAGCTCAGCATTGTTGAGCGACGCAAACTGTAGGAGAACAATTATACAAATGAGCCGGGGGGGGCGGGGGGGAGAAAACAAATTCTACAAATTTTTTTTTAATAACTCGATTCTTGAGTTGAAACGTGGAGCAGAATGAAGGCTCCGTTTAGATCGCGCAGATTCACGATGATTCGGGTGAATAACTGCGATCTGAAATCTGCTCCGTGTTTTACTGGCAAGCAGCCGGAAAATCGTGAAATCTTAGCCCAGCATCTCAGCGGTGTTTGGCTCGGCTAGACCGGGGCCACCCCATGCGTTGGTGGCCTCAGCAGTCTCGTTTAATCTGCGCACTGCGAAAGTCGTGCTTTGTTGAAATAAAATGTTTTGGGGTGCGAGGAGAGGAGAAAAAAATTGAAGAACAAAGTGCCGTTTCATAACAGGAAAAGCAACGAAAGTGGAATTTTACCGCGGCAAAGTAAATATTCACCGATTCCACTTTTGAGCCCCGTAATCCAACTGAGAAAAAAAAAAACATTCCGGTACTTCCTAAAATAATACAATTTACATTCGCTGGCTGAGTTTGCAAACGGTTTGTGTGTGTGTGATTTAAAAAGGAAATTGGTGAAATAGGGAGCTCATCTCGCATAAGTTCACTCGGCGGTGAGCATCCTGGGGTTCTCAAGGGGCTCGTGATGCCCCTGTGTCATCGAAGCGTACCCGCAACGCCGAGCGCCTGGGTTTGAGTCTATGTACTACGGGAGGGGGAGGTGAGGGAGGGGCTGGGCAACAACAGGAAACTTGTTGTTGTTGTTCACAAAAATGTAAGCGACCCTAGTAGACCTCGCAGAGAACGTCTTGACGACGGCGTCGACTGCAGAGATTTGTTGCCAGAAAGACGACGTGGCCACCACTGGAGCATCCTAGCACGGGAGAGAGACGAAAGTGGAAACAACAAATGGCGAAATGTTGCAGTGGACACCTACTACGGGCGACGACGATGACGACGACGATGACGACTAGGGGGTCTGTGACGACACAAATTCTCCTTGAGCTCACGAATCCCCCCCGCCCCCCCCCCCCGGCACATCGAACACACGTGGCGCACGAAGCGAATCCGTACGGATCTCGTACGCGCCGCTCTCTAAATGGGCACGCGTCAATCTCCTGCAGCCACCGACGGGAGGCGATGCCACTGCACATCGACGACCAAGCAGGCGCAGAGGGCAACGTGGGAATCGCGAAATCAGGGGGTGTGGAACGTCCGGCCTGCGGGCCGTATGAGGCCCGCAAAGTCATTTGGTGTGGCCCTGCTAAGGCAACCGCAGGCGGGACTCGAAATTCAATAAATCTAGGTAGAGCAAACCTGGAAAAGCAGTTGCGGGTAGCAACGTCGTCAATACCAGCTAACATCATCACACACCTCGCCAAAGAGAAGCAGTTCCAGCCAGCGCATTAGGGGTGAGTTCATTAAATGTTTGACCAAATATAACAGGCTAATTTTTGAGTTGATAATTTTGTATGGCCCGCGAATGATGTTATAAATATCCAAATGGCCCTGGGCAGAAAAAAAATGTTCCCCGCCCCTGCGCTAAATAATCGAGGGGTTTGATGCACGGTGGACGCAGCACAAAAACAATAGCCCTGCAGGGCCACCGTGAAAGAGTCTCTTGACTGTTCATCCGTCGGTCCGCTGATGGATGAAGCCGGCATGTGCGGAGTTTGTGGTGGGCACGAGGGGGAGCGGGAGGGAGCAACGCCCCTCCCAAACTGGACACCTTTATTAATGCATTTTCAGTCGTTTACAATTCAGATTTTTTTTTAAAATTCATTCATTAAATGCGCCCGCCATTCCTAATGTGGGGGACAAAGCGAGCCCTCTCCCCCAAACCTCCTCCCCCCCCCCCTCCAAATATAGAAGGCAAACTCCGCCAATGGCATTGCGAAGGCCTCCCAATGCCGTGCCCGTGAACGAGGCTCTTTCCACCCTCTGATCAGCACGATTGGCTACGTACTGTGCACAATAAGTTCAACACACAGGTCGCACGCATCGATGGTGAAGTGATGGCGTTGCAACGTCAATTACAGCCCTCGTGCTGTGACGGCCGTGGGAGTTGTTTGACTATACTTCGTGAGGCTTAAATAAAAACCAGAAAACACAAAAACGCCCCGTGAATAGCCATCGAAATTGATATTGATTCTGTGCGTCCGTGAAATGCCCCCCTTATAGAGGCTCAGAGCGTGGCTCCGAGTCTCTGTTTTGTCACAGCAAAGCATCCCGTGCGAAAATATTTGTGGGAGCGATGCCTCGCTTTCAGACACGTTGGCTCAACGCACGGCTACGACACGCCCTGACCTGAATGATGTATTATTCTTTTTTGTTAGTATCTGCCCACAAAAATATCACACGATCCCATCCCCTGTTTGTCTTACTGATCGCATCGGTGGAAAAGAACACGCGCAGACGCTCGCACGCCCCCCGCAATGTACAACTTGTAGCCACGCTGCTATTCTGTTCAAACGCCGTACGAGAGGAGACGGTCGCCCCGACATCGTGGCCATTGTGAACCCCCCCCCCCCCCCTCTGAGCCACCTCCCTCTGGTCATGCATCGGTCAGAATCTGAATATTTATTCACACTGGAGGAATCCGATGAGCCATGAAGCTCTTTCACACCAAGATGTCCAGGGGACGTTGGCGGGGTTTGGGGCAGTTGTTGTTCCGGCATCGTCGCTGCTCCGGTTGCTGTTGTTGTTTATTCTTGTTGTTTATTGTTGTTGTTTATTGTTGTTGTTAATTGTTGTTTATTGTTGTTGTTTATTGTTGTTGTTTATTGTTGTTTATTGTTGTTGTTTATTCTTGTTGTTTATTGTTGTTGTTTGCTTGTTTGTTTCGCAGCTGGTTGCGTCCATCGTGTTCGTCAGCTTCGGAGTGGTCGCCGCCTTCTGCTGTGCCACACTGGACGGGCTCTTTGCCGCTCGCCAAATCGTGCGTAGCCTCATCCCCTCGCTCAGCCTGGGGGATTTCCTCCGGGAATTCCACTTTCGCTCGCTCGCTCGCCACCAAAATTTACTCGGCGGTTGCCCCTCATCGTGTGTACGTTGAACTTCTGTCGCACCGTACGTAGTCTCTGTGTGTGTCTGTGTGAGTCTATGAGTATCTGTGTGAGTCTATGGGTCTCTGTGTGAGTCTGTGGGTCTCTGTGTGAGTCTATGGGTCTCTGTGTGAGTCTGTGGGTCTCTGTGAGTTTGTGGGTCACTGTGTGAGTCTATTGGTCTCTGTGTGAGTCTGTGGGTCTCTGTGTGACTCTGTGGGTCTCTGTGTGAGTCTGTGGGTCTCTGTGTGAGTCTATGGCTCTCTGTGTGAGTCTACGGGTCTCTGTGTGAGTCTACGGGTCTCTGTGTGAGTCTGTGGGTCTCTGTGTGAATCTGTGGGTCTCTGTGTGAGTCTGTGGGTCACTGTGTGAGTCTGTTGGTCTCTGTGTGAGTCTATAGGTCTCTGTGCGACTCTGTGGGTCTCTGTGTGAGTCTGTGGGTCTCTGTGTGCGTCTATGGGTCTCTGTGTGAGTCTATTGGTCTCTTTGTGAGTCTATGGGTCTCTGTGTGAGTCTATAGGTCTCTTTGTGAGTCTATGGGTCTCTGTGTGAGTCTATGGGTTCTCTGTGTGAGTCTATGGGTCTCTGTGTGAATCTGTGGGTCTCTGTGGGAGTCTGTGGGTCTCTGTGTGAGTCTGTGGGTCACTGTGTGGGTCTATGGGTTTCTGTGTGAGTCTATTCGTCTCTGTGTGAGTCTGTGGGCTCTGTGTGAGTCTGTGGGTCTCTTTGTGAGTCGATGGGTCTCTGTGTGAGTCTACGGGTCTCTGTGTGAGTCTGCGGGTCTCTGTGTTAGTCTGTGGGTCACTGTGTGAGTCTATGGGTCTCTGTGTGAGTCTACGGGTCTCTGTGTGAGTCTACGGGTCTCTGTGTGAGTTTATGAGTCTCTGCGAGTCTATGTATGTACGTTGAGCTTCTTTTGCATCATACGTAGCCGACCTCGCTAATCGGAGACGCTTCCAAGCAGGGGCCTCCTGATGAACACGGCGTTCCTTCGTTACTCACGAACTCGCGATCCGCGGTTTTGGCTCTCCACGATTCGCATCTTGAAGTCTACACAACCGCCGCATCGAGAGAGAGAGAAAGTGATGAGATTAAGTGATGAGAGATAACGTCTCTGAGAGAGAATGTAATGCATCAGCCACGGGATTCGTGTGACCATACTTCACCGATACCGGTTCGGTGGTCTGTGCGATTTGGTGACGGTGGGTAACACACGCCACCGATGTCAGCCATTGCCGGGAGTTGAACTCAGGTTGCCACGTGTTTAGTGAGGACCACCCGCCGTCACGTAGTCACCACGTGTGTGCCGCGGCTCTCCTTTGTTACTTTGGTTTGCGACCCCTGACCCCCCGCCCCCCACACGTGGTTAAATCTGTCACCAACGTCAACGTTCGGGCCCTTCCAGAACACCATTTGCGACTCACGCGAGTCGCTCGCGATCGCGAACGTCCGCGTTGAACTCCTTTCGCACCGCACGTAGCCGACCGTGCCAATCGTAGGTGCCAGTCGGTCATCTCCATGCGAGCAGTGTCCATCTCCTTCCTCCCCCCCCTGCCGCCTCCAGGACCCGAGACCCCTCTACGCAGAGCGCTGCCAGTTCTACACCAGCGGCGATGGCTACATTTACGAAAACTACTTCTCCGATGTGAGTCTTTGCCTTTGGGTCCCAGTGCATCGTACTCAAGCATGTACTGTGCGTTGAACTTCTTTCGCACCGCACGCAGCTTAATGGGAGGTGCCGGGGGAAGGACGACAAACTAAACACAGCAAGCAGCTCTTAGGAAATGAGTTCGCCAATGTAGATGATTTAAAAGTGCGCAGCTCCCAGCGGCTTCCAAACATCGAGGCGCTCCAGACGGCCGCAGAAGCGCATCTTAAAGCGCCGCCGTCTTTGTTCGAGCTTGTGTGATGATGATGATAATTGCTTGTGTGATGATTGCAACACAAGCAATCATCATGGTGATTGCTTGTGTTGCAATCATCATGATGATGATGATGATTGCTTGTGTGATGATTGCAACACAAGCAATCATCATGGTGATTGCTTGTGTTGCAATCATGATGATGATGATGATTGCTTGTGTGATGATTGCAACACAAGCAATCATCATGGTGATTGTTTGTGTTGCAATCATGATAATGATGATGATTGCTTGTGTGATGATTGCAACACAAGCAATCATCATGGTGATTGCTTGTGTTGCAATCATCATGATGATGATGATGATTGCTTGTGTGATGATTGCAACACAAGCAATCATCATGGTGATTGCTTGTGTTGCAATCATGATGATGATGATGATGATGATTGCTTGTGTGATGATTGCAACACAAGCAATCATCATGGTGATTGTTTGTGTTGCAATCATGATAATGATGATGATTGCTTGTGTGATGATTGCAACACAAGCAATCATCATGGTGATTGCTTGTGTTGCAATCATGATGATGATGATTGCTTGTGTGATGATTGCAACACAAGCAATCATCATGGTGATTGCTTGTGTTGCAATCATCATGATGATGATGATTGCTTGTGTGATGATTGCAACACAAGCAATCATCATGGTGATTGCTTGTGTTGCAATCATGATGATGATGATGATGATTGCTTGTGTGATGATTGCAACACAAGCAATCATCATGGTGATTGTTTGTGTTGCAATCATGATAATGATGATGATTGCTTGTGTGATGATTGCAACACAAGCAATCATCATGGTGATTGCTTGTGTTGCAATCATCATGATGATGATGATGATTGCTTGTGTGATGATTGCAACACAAGCAATCATCATGGTGATTGCTTGTGTTGCAATCATGATGATGATGATGATGATTGCTTGTGTGATGATTGCAACACAAGCAATCATCATGGTGATTGTTTGTGTTGCAATCATGATAATGATGATGATTGCTTGTGTGATGATTGCAACACAAGCAATCATCATGGTGATTGCTTGTGTTGCAATCATGATGATGATGATTGCTTGTGTGATGATTGCAACACAAGCAATCATCATGGTGATTGCTTGTGTTGCAATCATCATGATGATGATGATTGCTTGTGTGATGATTGCAACACAAGCAATCATCATGGTGATTGCTTGTGTTGCAATCATGATGATGATGATGATGATTGCTTGTGTGATGATTGCAACACAAGCAATCATCATGGTGATTGTTTGTGTTGCAATCATGATAATGATGATGATTGCTTGTGTGATGATTGCAACACAAGCAATCATCATGGTGATTGCTTGTGTTGCAATCATCATGATGATGATGATGATTGCTTGTGTGATGATTGCAACACAAGCAATCATCATGGTGATTGCTTGTGTTGCAATCATGATGATGATGATTGCTTGTGTGATGATTGCAACACAAGCAATCATCATGGTGATTGTTTGTGTTGCAATCATGATAATGATGATGATTGCTTGTGTGATGATTGCAACACAAGCAATCATCATGGTGATTGCTTGTGTTGCAATCATGATGATGATGATGATGATTGCTTGTGTGATGATTGCAACACAAGCAATCATCATGGTGATTGTTTGTGTTGCAATCATGATAATGATGATGATTGCTTGTGTGATGATTGCAACACAAGCAATCATCATGGTGATTGCTTGTGTTGCGATGATGATGATGATGATTGCTTGTGTGATGATTGCAACACAAGCAATCATGATGATGATTGCTTTTGTTGCAGTCGAAACGTCGTGAGAATTTTATTGTTTTATATTTTTATTATTTTATTGTTTCCCTTCTACGTGACTTTACCGAAAGAACCAAGAATATATATAGACATATGTGAATATGTTGATTTGAAGCTTTCGTGAATGCAGTAATCCATACTCTTTGGTTCTTTCGGTAAAGTCACGTGGGTAGAAAAAATAATAATAGATGACGACGTTTCGATCGCCACACAAGCAGTCGTCTTCTCTCTCCCACCTGAAGACGATTGCTTGTGTGCCGATCGACTTTGCAGAACAAAACAAAGAGTATGTCTATATATATGTCTATATGTATTGGGTGGTGGCATTGCACGTGACCTGTAGTCCAGCACTGTGGAAGCGGCGAGGGTTGGCGGGTTGACGAAATGTTGTTGTGAGCCTCCCTTCCCGTGGGCATCGAGGCGCAAATACCCCGGCTCGATGGGAGATGGCGGTACAGCAAAAGTGTGGCCTGATCTCTCGTCTGTGTTTGCTTTACGGGATATATGGTTTCCCCCTCGCATGCGTGGATTGTCTGCAGGAGCTCCGGTTTTGCTTCCGACGTGCAGTATAAGCATCGACTCGTTGGCGGAAAACATCCCGATATGTGGAGAACTGCAGAGCAGTTGTTTGGCGTTGACTGCCTGCAGGCTTAGCCTGTGGTTCCTTAGCGATTGTGAGATGCAATTTGCGTGAACGATGAACGGCATCTCTCTCTCTCCATATATATAAAACCACTCGCTAGATGATGAGTCCGTGTTGGACTGCACCACGTCACCGCTCCTCCTGATTTTGCGTCTCTGTCCAACGTCGGACCGCCCAGGTGCCGTGCCGGAGCAGTCACGGGGACTGCTCGCTCAAGATCCGCAGCGGCACCTGCTACTGCTGCGACCTCTACAACTGTGGCAGGCAAGGTCGCGGCGCAGCCACAGACAGGAGGCACACACGAGTGTGGGATGAGAGAGAGAGGAGAGATGGAGGGGTGATGAGAGATGAAGAGGACAGAGATAGGAGAGTTACAGAGGAGATGCAGGTGAGTGTGATGACAGATGAAGGAGAGAGAGATAGGAGAGTTGAAGAGGTGATGCAGGTGAGTGTGATGAGTTATGAAGAGGGGAGAGAGAGATAGGAGAGTTACAGAGGTGATGCAGGTGAGTGTGATGAGATATGAAGAGGGGAGAGAGAGATAGGAGAGTTCTAGATGAGATGCAGGTGAGTTTGACGACAGATGAAGGAGAGAGAGATAGGAGAGTTGAAGAGGTGATGCAGGTGAGTGTGATGAGTTATGAAGAGGGGAGAGAGAGATAGGAGAGTTACAGAGGAGATGCAGGTGAGTGTGATGAGAGATGAAGGAGAGAGAGAGATAGGAGAGTTGAAGAGGTGATGCAGGTGAGTGTGATGAGATATGAAGAGGGGAGAGAGAGATAGGAGAGTTCTAGATGAGATGCAGGTGAGTGTGATGAGAGATATGTAGAGGAGAGAGAGATAGGAGAGTTGAAGAGGTGATGCAAGTGAGTGAGATGAGAGCTGAAGAGGGGAGAGAGAGATAGGAGAGTTGCAGAGGTGATACAGGTGAGTGTGATGAGAGATGAAGAGGAGAGAGATAGGAGAGTTATAGAGGTGATGCAGGTGAGTGTGATGAGAGATAAAGAGGAGAGAGAGATAGGAGAGTTGAAGAGGTGATGCAGGTGAGTGTGATGAGAGATGAAGAGGAGAGAGACGAGAGAGCAGTAAACACGGGATGTAGATCGACACCTCCCACGACCCACAACACCTCCCACGACGCATCCCACGACGCATCCCACGACACGACTCACGACACGACTCACGACACGACTCACGTCACGACTCACGACACGACCCACGTCACGACTCACGACACGACTCACGTCACGACTCACGACACGACTCACGACACGACTCACGTCACGTCCCAGGGCCGCAAGGATCGCCGGTCGGCGGCGCCGACCTCGCGTCGTGACGCTGCCGCCGCCGCCGCGAGACTCGCCGACGTCGCGTTGACGTTGCTACTCGACCAGCGGTAGACAAATAAACCGCGTCGCTCCGTGCCCCATGCCTCGCTGCTGTGGCTACTGCTGCCGCTGCCTGCTGGCTGCCTGCCTGCCGCCTGGCTGGCCGCCGCCGCCACCGCTCGCGTCGCTGCGCAGCGGCGACTACGCGGCCGTCTACTACGAGTTCGTGGGCGTGAGGAGCTGCCTCGGAGCCGTGCACCTCTACCGCCTGCTCTGGCTCTCCACGCTGCTCAACGTGTGCGCCGTCTTCCTGGGCATCGTCACCTCGGCCGTCTTGGGAAGCTTCAAGGACACGGTGGGCGAGCGGGCGAGCCTTGAAATGTGAATGACCGTCAGAGTCTGGAGTGCAGCCTCCAACTATTAAACTCATATTCTCTCCGTCTCTCTGGCCAAGTTGAAGGGCCACTGCCCAATGCATCACCTACTTTATATATATTACGTTATATATAATAACAAAATGTAATATATTATACCCTTTGGTTTTTTCGGTAAAGTCACGTAGGTAGAAATAAAATTTAACAAATCACGACGTTTCGATCGCAACACAAGCGATTTTTTTATTTTTATACCTACGTGACTTTGCTGAAAGAACCAAAGAGTATGGATTACTGCAGTCACGAAAGCTTCAAATCAAGATAATATATTATAATTATATACATATAATATATTATATATGTACATATATAATATATTTTATTTCTATTATATATTATAGTATATAGTATACAGATCATCCGAATGTGAGTTTTTGTTGCTTGTGCTCTTTCAATTAATTTTGTTCTAACAATGAGGGATTTATAGCAGGGGGCTTGGGGAGATTGTATTGGGCTTGGACTGGCTGTGTTATGTCACGGTGCCATGAACACCGGGAAGCGTGGGGCACCACGGTGGCTAGGAGATGTTAACTACCTCGCCCGGTATGCAGGAGGTCGTGGGTTCCATCTCGACCATGACGCCTGCTGCTGTATATTTGGAGTTTGCGTGTCTCTCTCTCTCATCATCATCACGGTGGCTTGGAGATGTTAACTACCTCGCCAGGTATGCAGGAGGTCGTGGGTTCCATCCCGACCAGCAAATATTAAAGACCTCGAGACGGCATTTGCAAGAGGTCAATTGTGTGCCGGCTTCAGGGCCCACATTGACCAAATTCTAAACTTACACTGCAAATTACTCGATTTGGATTATCGCCCCCTACCGACGGACAAATAGCGCGGGTCTCTCTTGCAAATGAGACTCTCCTGGTCTCTTGAGTTGTCACTTGGTGAGGTGAAATAAGCGCAACCTAAACGTGACTTTAAGCGGACCACGTGGCTCTGGAGGGGGCGGTGATGCAGGAGGAGGTGGTGGAGGAGGACAGAGGGGTAGGAGGAGGAGGTGGTGGCCGAGGTGGTGGTGGAGGAAGTGGAACAGGAGGAGGAGGGAAGGGTAGGAGGAGGTGGTGGTGGACGAGGTGGTGGAGGAGGTGGTGGACGAGGAGGTGGAGGAGGTGGTGGAGGAGGGAGGGGTAGGAGGTGGTGGAGGAGGAAGTGGAACAGGAGGAGGGAGGGGTAGGAGGAGGAGGTGGTGGTGGACGAGGTGGTGGAGGAGGTGGTGGACGAGGTGGTGGACGAGGTGGAGGTGGTGGAGGAAGTGGAGGAGGAGGAAGTGGCCGCATTTGCCGTGTGCCGTCCTGCTGCTGTTTGGGGCAGGGGTCAAACCCTAGAAGTTCTTTGCGCTTGGCAGTGGTGAAGGACGAAGCAACGATGCAGCACCACCGCCACCATCGCCACCACCACCACCACACCCTGGGGCGATGATTTGCTACGCCGACGAAGGCCTCCCGCTAGCCCTGCCGGTCATGGGGGCTGTTTGTCCAAACTCTGCCACCTTGGTTTGCGAAGGGGACGTTGCTGCTGTAGAAGCTGCTGTTGCTAATGCTGCTGCTGTTGCTGCTGCTGCCGCTGCTGCTGTGCGCGTGTTCAGGCACAGACGCTGCCGCGGGTCGAGTATGTTCCAAGCTCGCTCGCCCAAATCTCCTACAGCCCGAGCATGCAGTCGCTCTCCTACAGCCCGTGCTATCCCGGCCTGGCACCATATCCATACGCGGCACAGGTGAGAAAAAAATAATGATTTCAACTCGGACCGCACCGCTGCGCAGCGTTCGCACCACACAGACACGCGAGGGACCATGCAGTTGGCACCCAGGCAGCGAGGCAGCACCCCCTCAAAAGATCTGCGGTCCTCTATAAACACAAACCCTGTCCCGTTCCGAGACGTCTGCAAGTTGCAGGGTGGGTGGTGTCCCGTTCACCGCTGAATCTCGGAACGTGCTAGCAGCTCGGGGTTCAGTTAATTTAGAGAGGCGTAGCGCCGTTGTTTTTAAATGTACTCGCCGCAGAGAACTGTAGCGACACGACCGCAACTCTGCGATAGCGCCGCAAACTGTGCCACACGGCCTCCCGCAGGGCCATGTTGGAGCCTCGGGTGCGACTTCCGACTTCCAACGTGAAGACGGACCGATGAAAATGTTTTATTTTAGTTTTGATCCCGTTCCCATGACGTACACGTACGTCATGAGCTAGTTAATGAGGGTGTTTATATGTTTGGGAGCAAAATGGAGCACCAGGAGATAACCCACGCATGCGAGGGGGTAACGCTCTATCCCTGACAAGCCACAGTATCGCATCTCAACGCCCTCAGGAAGGGAGTTTCACACCACTTTCGCGATCCAACAACCCTCGCTGCCTTCACGGTGCTTGGCTTACAGGCCACGTGCATAGCAACCACCGCCCGGCAAAGAAACACAACAACAATCATACACCTCATAATTTACTCTCGTATGAATGGCATTATCGTCGCCATCATCGTCGTATGTAAGCAAATTAGGACTGTAACGCAGATCACAAGTAAAATATCCAGCTCTCTCTCATAAGGGAGAACGCTGATAAAGTGCCGCAGTTTTGCGCTTTCATCCACGCTGGGACGAGGGCGACAGTGGTGGTGGTGGTGATGATGGAGCGTCACACGGCTCCGTGGATGCGTCAAAACCCACGTAACCTTTGCCGCAAAATAAGCCGGGTGCGTCCTAACCCCATAATCGCATTGAAAGTTAAACCTCCGGTGGGTATTAATAGGTTGGCTTTGGGAGTGCGGCTGTGTGTGTGGGGCAGGGGGGGGGTTGTCCAACTTGAGGAACTTGCACCCGTAGCCAAATGCCTCCGCTAATGAGAGCGAGAGAGAGAGAGGGACTGCCTCTACAACTGCGGATCGCCTTTCTCTAAACCGTTCGCGTATTCGGCGTCCGCGTTCGGTGTCCCGCGTCTCTCGAGACAAACGGCCGCCGAAGTCCTCTCGCGACCAGAGATGAGCTCACGGGGCTATGTATGGCGGGGGGGGGGGGGGAAGGCGTTTGTCTTCAAATGCCTCTCGCTCTGTAACGCATGGCTTTGCTCGTCGGCTGGGTCGGTACGCCGCGTGTACGTCCCGTCGGGCTTCTTCCGCACCGTTCGTAGCCGACCGTGCAAATTGGCCAGGCCGCTTCTGAAACAGGAGCTCTATGGCTCAGGGGGGCCTATACCTGGTAATATATATAAAAAAAAATCTTTCCGAACGAAAAAAAACCAACGCAGCGAAGCAAACCGCCGCTGCGCGAGCGATACAAAAAAATTATTTACTTGAGGGCTCAACGTTGGTACCCCGCGCCCCTTCGCCCGCTGCGTCTCAACCCCGTCAGTGCCGAGACACGGCGCTGGATTACTACGCCGCCGTGGGAACCGGCGGAGCGGCGCTGGCGACGGGCGGCCTCCCGAGGGGGGACGCGGGCGGGCAGCTCTACCCGGGCGCCGGCGGCCTCTACCCTCCGCCACGACCCAGCGCGCCGCCTCTGCACGTGTCCCACGCGCGCGCCCCTTCGTTCGAGAAACCCGTGCCCTACGCGCCGTAGCGGCGACTCTCGCGGGGACGAAGCGCGCACCCGGATCGTTTGAACGCACGCCCGCCCGCCCGCCCGCCCGTCCGTCCGTCCGCCCGCCCGTCCGCCCGCGCATTTGTACCGGGGATTTCCGCCGTCGGTCGCGGAGACTGTTTTTCTTTGCTCGGCCACTCGCCGTTTTCGCGCCGGCGCTCGACAGCTGTGGGTTTTAATTTCAAAAAATGTAGAAATGAACGAGCGCTGTCTGTTTTGCACGCACGTGCGTTGAGGCGCGAGCGTGTGCACGCGTGTGTAACGAGGCGAGGGCGCCGATGACTCTGATAAAGACTGAACCATTACAAACGAAACCTCGGTGTGAAATCGTGTTGCTATTGATCGATTGTGAAGCGGGCACATTGATCTAAGCGTTCGTGCCTAACACTTGGGAGAGCAAGACACAACACACCGGCGTGCTGTACTAGTGACGAATTGGCACGTTCTGTTCACGTAATAACCCTTACTAGTTGGCTGTGTCGGGTGGTGGCGGGTTTTACTGACACATTCATATATTTACACGATCTAACCACAAAAAACTCTATTATGGATGCTATTGGTCGCGAAAGCCTAAAACGTGTTAAACAGAAAAAAGATGTATATATAGAATGTGCAACGTTTCAGGTGATGGAGTCCCATATTTGATGGGCCATTTAAGGCCAGACAGTGTTATAACAATTATTATATTGTGAATTGTGCTTGTGCACCGCTGCCAACACAGCAGCAGCACCGTCGCCGAATAGTAAGGATATAAAATAAAATAAAAATAATATATCACGATGTTTCGATTGCAACACAAGCGGTCGTCCTCTGGCAGAAAAAAATAATCCAGCAGTGGAACTGCTGAACCAGCTGGTTTAGCCTACAAACAACTGCTGGATTCTGAACCAGCTGGATTCTGAACCAGCTGGATTCTGAACCAGCTGGATTCTGAACCAGCTGGATTCTGAACCAGCTGGATTCTGAACCAGCTGGATTCTGAACCAGCTGGATTCTGAACCAGCTGGATTCTGAACCAGCTGGATTCTGAACCAGCTGGTTCAGCAGTTCCATTTCTGGATAATTTTTTGTTTTATTTTATTTTTCTACCTGCGTGACTTTGCCGAAAGATTTCGATTTAAAGCTTTCGTGACTGCAGGGATTCATCTTCTTGGTTCTTTCGGTAAAGTCACGTAGAATGGAAATAAAATAATAAAAATAAAACATAATAAAATAAAATTCTCATGATGTTTCGGCCACAACACAAGTAGCCTTCCTCAGGTGAAGAAACAGAACTGTCGGGCAGACAGCACTTCAGTGAACACTGCCAAGCTTGGCAGCGTCTTTTAAGCTGGGTGGGAGGAGCAGAGCGCCTTGAGTGATAGCTGTGTTAATGTGTTGGATTCGCAGGATGTTAAAGTCCGAAATTAGCATGTAACTGGGAGATTAGCACCAAGAACCAAAGAGTATGGATTCCTGCAGTCACGAAAGCTTCAAATAAAGAATGTAAGGATTTGTCGCGTCGACATGCAACGGCGTCTCCAGACGGCAGGACGAAACAAGTTGCGTGGTGCGATATTTGTTGACCGACAGCAGGGAGGTGTTTTTTTGTTTTGTTTGTAGGCTAAACACAAAACTCGAGGGACACCTCGTGAGAGGAAAGCGAGTCGCGCAGTGACGCATCGATCCGTCCGCTGAAATTCGATCCCTACGCTAAAAATCCATGAAATTGAGTGTGAAAATCGATTATCTACAATTCGTACACATTATACGATTGCAGAATTTGGTAGAAGCCTGTACGAGTTGGGCCCGACGTAGACATGAAACAAAGCACAAAGTCACGTGCAATGCATTTGCTGAACACAACAAATATCATTATTGGGAGGGACGCAGCTGTAAAGAGTTTGTGTAACCCGAGGGCAATTATTGAAGGCACACTTGGCTTAAAAAAAAGATCAATATATATAAACAGGCAAGAGAGGCGGTTGGAGCTTTTCTGCAAAATAACATTTGATCGCGAAAAGCAACATTACCGTTGTGCCCAGGAGCGGTGAACTTTCCATCGGTGCATAATTGCCGGCGATGACGTACGCACCGGAAAGCATCGGTTCACCGACAAAAATAAGAACGGAGCAAAAAACGCCCAAAGTGTGGCCCGAAGAGACGCGGAGGAGCGCTCGCTCGGAGTCACGCCGAGTTAGGAGGAACGCGGTTCGAGTTCACCAAACGTGGGCCGCGCGCGGGGGCTGGGAATGCCGCGGGAAGGAGGGAACGACGGTCCGTGGACAAGACTCGTCCAAAGGAGGGAAGACGCCAAAGAGGGGGAGGGGGGGGGGACGGTCGCCCCACGGATGGAGCGACGCCGTGGCATCGCAAGAGCCAGAGGTGACGACGACCACGTGAGTTGGCCTTCATCCAGCAGTGGACTGACCATGGCTGCCAGGGATTTTATGCCGCTATGTTTAGCTAATTGTGGCTAAATCGTACGACGGGAACGAGATGCACTGGAAACGAGCCGGGGGCACCGAACGAATTGATCAACGAAGCGTATCGTGGCTTCGAGTCTTGGCCATTAATCGGATCCCCCTTTTTTTGTTTGGGGGGGGGGGGGTAAACGTGACGTGTCCAATGATCTCGTCTTCGTGATTAGTAACTTGCTGTCCGCTGAGCCACATTGCACGGAAGTTAACAGTGGGATTCCCATTGCAAGCCTCCGGGCTAGTATTTTTTTCGATTAAACGAATATTTAGTGTGTTACAAAGAAGGGCAATTGCCCGAAAAGTCACCGATTATATTTTGTCCCCTTTTAAGGCCACAGGTTTCGTTTTGTTCGTTTCTCAATCCGCTTGTCCTGGTGAGGGTCGCAGCGTCAGCGTGTTGAGTCGTGGCGGTCCACACCTCTCTCTCCCTGGCAACAGACTCTAGCTCTACATTGCTCTACACGACTATACACCACACTATATACTACACCACTACACTACACTATACACTACAGCAGCGTGTTGAGTCGTGGTGGTCCACACCTCCCTCTCCCTGGCGACAGACTTCAGCTCTACACTACTATACACGACTATACACTACACTATATACTACTACACCACTACACTACACTATACACTACTCGACAGGATCTTGTCAGTGATCTCAAGGCAGCTGAGACCATAGTCACCAAGAAAACAATTGGTAACACACTACGCCGTGAAGGACTGAAATCCTGCAGCACCCACAAGGTCCCCCTGCTCAAGAAAGCACATATACATGCCCGTCTGAAGTTTGCCAGTGAACATCTGAATGATTCAGAGGACAACTGGGTGAAAGTGTTGTGGTCAGATGAGACCAAAATGGAGCTCTCTGGTATCAACTCAACTCGCCGTGTTTGGAGGAGGAGGAATGCTGCCTATGACCCCAAGAACACCATCCCCACCGTCAAACATGGAGGGAGAAACATTATGCTTTGGGGGTGTTTTTCTGCTAAGGGGACAGGACAACTTCACCGCATCAAAGGAATGATGGATGGGGCCATGTACCGTCAAATCCATGGGTGAGAACCTCCTTCCCTCAGCCAGGGCATTGAAAATGGGTCGTGGATGGGTATTCCAGCATGACAATGACCCAAAACACACGGCCAAGGCAACAAAGGAGTGGCTCAAGAAGAAGCACATTAAGGTCCTGGAGCGGCCTAGCCAGTCTCCAGACCTTAATCTCATAGAAAATCTGTGGAGGGAGCTGAAGGTTCGAGTTGCCAAACGTCAGCCTCGAAACCTTAATGACTTGGAGAAGATCTGCAAAGAGGAGTGGGACAAAATCCCTCCTGAGATGTGTGCAAACCTGGTGGCCAACTACAAGAAACGTCTGACCTCTGTGATTACCAACAAGGGTTTTGCCACCAAGTACTAAGTAGTGTTTTGCAGAGGGGTCAAATACTTATTTCCCTCATTAAAATGCAAATCAATTTATAACATTTTTGACATGCGTTTTTCTGGATTTTGTTGTTATTCTGTATCTCACTGTTCAAATGAACCTACCATTAATATTATAGACTGATCATTTATTTGTCAGTGGGCAAACGTACAAAATCAGCAGGGGATCAAATACTTTTTTCCCTCACTGTATATACATCACTACACTACACTATACACTACACTATACACACACTACACTATACACTACACTATACTCTACACTATACACTACTATACACTACACTACTATACACTACACTATACACACACTATACACTACACTATACACTACACTATACACTACACTATACACACTACACTATACAGACTCTAGCTCTACATTACTATACACTACACCATACACTACTACATTATACACTACTACACTGTAGACTACTACACTATACACTACTATACACTATACACACTACACTATACACTACACTATACACAGATTCTAGCTCTTCCTGGGTAATTCCCAGGCGTTCCCAGGCCAGCCGAGCGACATCGTCCCACTGCCAGCAGCAGCAGCAGCGTGTCCTGGGCCGGCCCCGGGGTCTTCGCCCAGTGGGATGATGCTGCTGCTGCCCGGTCGAGTTCCAGGGGGAGTCTACCGGGGGGCATCCTTACCGGGTGCCCGAGCCACCTCACCTGGCAACTGGCCACAGTAGCATTGACCATTCTTAATTCATGTTGTATTTCTCGAGGGAATCAACCCAAGTTCGCCACGTGCTCTACAAGGAGGGAACTTCCTGGACAGGACGGCGCAGTTCACCTTGAAACGTGCGGTGTGTCGGAGCGGACGCAACAACAACAAAAAACGATGCAACATCTGTTTTTGGGTTCGGGTACATCAAATAAACGTTCTGCCCCAAATGCGCGTCATTGACCCTCCACCACCCGACAAGATCGTCTCGTTTACAAAGCTATCATTCGCACGTGCCGACGTAATCACACGTGCCGACCGTCGTCACACGTGGCACACAATCCGTGGATCTGATTTTGACCGATAATCTCCTTAACGTTGGGCTCGCACTTCCGGCGACAGAAATCAGCATCGGCGTGGCACGACGTTTCGCTCAAAATGCTCTCGAGTTTCATCGGGTCGTCAACCCGAGAAGCGCACCATTCCCGAAGTTGGGTGGTGGAGGGTTTACGAAAATAATGTTGGCGTAAAACCACGTGGCCTCACTCAATAAAAACCCGAGTGTGGATCAGTATAGCACAGTGCCCACTTCCATCTTGCTCCTTCCCTCCCCTCTCATCGTCACCCAACTCAACTACGACATCTTTGTTCAAGTTTAGAATTGTTGTTCTTCCCCCGTACACACTCCGATTAGCACGGTTGGCTACGTACGGCGCGAAAGAAGTTCTACAAATACCTGTCCGGTGCTGCGGTGTTTTCCGCAGAGCTGCACAGGGAAAACACGTCTTGGTCCGAGGATATTAAAAACAAGTCAGCTTCCTGCACAACGGATGTATGTGCCTACTGGATATTGCATTTCTTTCGCGCCGTACGTGGCCAAACCCCATCTGCTCGACCTAACCGCAGTCTTTTTCAAAGATGACAGAAAAAAATGTGTTGAGTGCATTCGGACGTTGGTGCCTCTGTAAATATAATACCCATCGGCGTTTCCAAAAGCGGTGCATTGTGGTTCTCTCGTCTGAGAGCGCCATCAAAATCAATTTGAACAGCAGCAGCAGCAAGTCATCCTTTGTCTGGCTTAATGATTGGAGAACGACTATAATTTACATTTGAGGTGGCTGAGCCGGATAATTTTGCATCGGGAGTTGCGAAGTGATACGGCGAAATAAAAACTCTGGGCCTGCCTCATCAGCGCATCATCACCAACAGCAATGACGCAAGTGACCTTCCCAAAACGAATCAATCTTTTCTCTCCGGACTCTAATTACGTAGGATTTAACTCTGGGCTGGTTTCTACATCACGAACGACTGCTCCCATCTCTGTATGATGTGTGTACGTTGAGTTTCTTTCGCACAGTACATAGCCAACCGTGCTAAATCAGATGTGGCGTTGTATGCTGACCTTCTTTTGCACTGTACGTAGTCAACCGTGCTAATTGGAGGTGCTGGTGTATGTTCAACTTTTTTTTGCACTGTACGTAACCAAGCGTGATTATCAGAGGTGCTAGCTGCATTAGAAGCGTGGTTCATCACCGTCACACTTGGCAACACGTTTGCAGTGATATTATCAACTCGCACAAAAGATAGAAAAACGTGCAATAAGGAAACTTTATTACTCAAAAACACACAATACACTTTGAAAAGAAACACTGTCGCCAGTTTTGTGCAATTAGTAATTAATTGCCTTATTGAGGGTAAAACAAGTTAATTTTCATTACTTTTCCTTCAACTGGCTAAACAGTTAAGGCTTACAAGCAAACACTGGTGTTGCATCTCTGCATATCACATTGCTACAAAGCGGAAAATAAAATGCAAACTTAAAATGACACGTGTAAATATAAAATATTTTATACCAATAATAAAAAAACAATATATTTGATTAACTGGCCTGGAAGACATTCGCAGGCTTGCGCGCACACTTAGCTCGTCGGCCGCTTACATGTTTAATGAATGGCTGGACACTGACCCGCCCCAACTCGCCATGTGTTAAAGAGCTTCATGGCTCTTCAGATTCCCCCTGCAGTCTAAAGAAAGATTCCGATTCTGAAATGAGATCTGTGTCGAGGTAAGCTACGGTGGTCCCAAATTGCCATGCAACATCATTCAGCCAACATTGCCCATACGTTCATGGTGGCTGCGGGCAGCTATTTGCGACTAAAACCGTTCTTAATAGAGCGAGTTCGATTGAGGGAAACACTTAATTAACCACTTGGATGGGTGCCCACCACCAGGGCGTGCCAGGTGGTGTAAAATATAAATGTGAGGTTGCGAGTTGGCCAGGAGACACCAGTATTGTCACCTCCCTCGAATGCATGGTGGTTTTTCTCCGGGTTCTTCAGCTCACCCCTACCTACACGCCACTCATTTACTGAGCAATTAGCCAAACATGTCAATGTAGCAGGAGCACCAACTTTTTTTTGGTTAAAAAATAAAAGCTGGTATAATGTATGGCAGTCTCAATTTGGTCACCAATGAGACAGAAAACAATGCACACGTACTTTACTTAAATGAAATGTGGCTTCGCGCAAAACCGTGCGGTCAGGTGACCAGGATGTAACGAACCGATCTTTACAAGCACAGCGGGGCAACTTCCTTCGCGTTGAGCTAAGCCAAATTATTGAAGTGCAGTCGTTTTGGATCGTCCACGTTTAAATTGTGCGCAGAGGTGACGGGCACACTTTCATTATTTAATGTTATTCCCTTCACTTAAACGGTAAACGAGGTGTGAGTGTGATTAACAGAAACATTTTTAAAAAATATAAATGTCACACCTTACAGTTGTGTAGTGCAAATAATATATACCACAACACGAACTGAGATTACACAAGAGTTAATAATTCTGTATATATGCTAAAAGGTGCCTCAAGAGAAGAGCACACAATGGGCATGGCAGCACGCTCTTCACGTCGAGATGACACATTCCCTGTGTTCCTTCTGTGTGCTCGTTGTGTGTTGTATGCGTTGTGTGTGTTGTGTGTGTTCTGTGTGCTCGTTGTGTGTGTTGTGTGTGTTGTGTGTTCTGTGTGTTGTGTGCCTTCTGTGTGTTGTGTGCGTTCTGTGTGTTGTGTGTGTTGTGTGCTCGTTGTGTGTGTTGTGTGTTGCGTGCTCGTTGTGTGTTGTGTGCTCGCTGTGTGTTGTGTGCTCGTTGTGTGTTGTGTGTGCTCGTTGTGTGTTGTGTGCGCTGTGTGTTGTGTGCTCGTTGTGTGTTCTGTATGTGTTCTGTGTGTTGTGTGCTCGTTGTGTGTGTTGTGTACGTTCTGTGTTCTGTATGTGTTCTGTGCTCGTTGTGTGTGTTGTGTGCGTTGTGTGTTCTGTATGTGTTCTGTGCGTTGTGCGCTCATTCTGTGTGTTGTGTGCGTTCTGTATGTTCTGTATGTGTTCTGTGTGCGTTCTGCACATGAGACCTGTGATGGTCACCAGCTCAAAATAGCTCAAAGTTGTGGCATTTTTTAATTCAGCCAGTAGAAGAACAGCTAGGCAACTGTATACCAGTTTCATCCATATTTGGACTCATAAGCACAGTATTGCCGTCACTGCACACTGCTGTCATTTGTGCATGCATTGAGAAACGTATGTTAATGAGCCCTCTCTTCCTAGACTATGGGGTCACATTTGGCACGAGAGAAGGTCAAATAACAAAACGACTCTTTTTCTCTAGCCGAAGAGGAAAAGTCAATCGACAGCAAGCAGAACCAAATCTTCATCCGTGGCCGACTTGTGCGATTTCCTTTGGCTCCACGAAAACAAGAATCACTTCCTTTTTGACCCACACTTGGCCAGTTTATCCGCGGCCTCGTTCCCTTTGTGACCGCTGTGCCCCGGAACGTACATCCACGAGACTTCAATCCCCTCGTTCAGCTTGTCAAGCCTCTCGAAATCTTCCTTGTTCACCACCGGGCCCCCCGTGCTCAGCACCCAGCCCTTCTTCTTCCAGTTCTTCACCCACTTGGTAATGCCGTTGATGGTGAACTTGCTGTCCGTGTACAGCACGAGCTTCTCCAGCTTCATGCTGTGGGCCTGCTCCAATGCGCGACACGCGGCGATGATCTCCGCCCTCTGATTGGTCTGCCTTCCCTGCAGCTTCTCGCTTAGGTTCAGCGGGCTGTCGTCACCCCAGTAGACTCCGATCCCGGCGCAGGCCCCGTGTTTTCCGTTCATCGTGCAGCAGCCATCCGTGTACACGACGGGCACGTCCCCCAAGAATTCCTGGGGCTTCAACTCGGTGGTGGCGACGGTGGTGGTGGTGGTGGGAGGAGGCTGCGCCGGGGTTGCTTTCATCCGTTTCGCCGGCTCCTCATCCTCATCGGAGCTGAGGTCTGCACGCCGCTTGCCACCGCTTTTGGCAGCAGCAGTAGAGGTGGCGGCGGCGGCGGCAGCGCGGCTGGTCGAAGCCTTGTTCGGCCCGCTTCCCTTGGCTCCGGCGCTGCTGCCACCTGGCTTCTTCGAGCCGCCCTCCTGCGGGGACTTGCGGCCGCCGTCAGAGGACTGCTCCTCCGAGTCTTTTCCGGACGACGGCGGTTTCTTTACGTCAGGCCCCACGAAGTTCCAGGCCTCTTCCTCGGTCGGGAACTTCTTGAAGGCAGGGCCGCGGAATTCGGTGACCTGTGCGAGGCATTCCTCCCACGTGAGGTACACCCCTGGCTGCCTGCCCCTCCGGACCGCGTAGAAAGCCGGGCCCTTCTTCCCCATGGCTCACACTTGCCTTCCACACGCGCTGGCACTGCCGCTGCGGTCCCGAATTTCACTTCCGATGCCGTTTACGTGATCTTATTGCAGTTGCGGTTTAATTATTGGACGTCGTACGCTCTCTTTAAGTCCCAACGACAACGGCTTATTCGCTATAGCGTTGCGAGTGATTGTCCAGTCCTTATTGTTGTTATGGTTTGCTTGTTGGACCGGGAGTCACCTCTTGTTAAATCTGTAAAAAGAGCAGATGCATGGTAGATGTTTATTATCATTACTACGAATGACGAAAGGAAAAGAAAACTATGCCACAGACAACTTACTTGTGAAGATTGCCCCGTGACTAGGACTTGAATGCAATTAGGTTCCGTTGTCATCGATTTTTTTACTTTTTCCTTCCAAATGTTATCCCAACTGTATTTTTAGGAATCAAAAGTGTCCATAACACATAGTCAAGCAACCTACACGACCCACACAGCATGGGCAGGCCTTCATTCAGCAGCAGATTGACGAAACGGGCTGCAGGATGACCAAGCGCGCAGGTCGGCCACGAAGTCCCAGAACAGAACCACGATGTCGGAATCATGCAAGGCACATACCTTTGGGGGAAGGGTCCAATGTCAACTTCACGAAAGATGTGGAATCGAGCAGCAGCGATGACCCAGATTTGGTGGCACGAGTGGCAAGGGCAATGACCTCTTAACCTTGAAAATAGATACACACCCATAAGGAGACGTGTGAATATACAGGCGGCGGTCCCTGCTTTGACGCCACAATGGGCTCCTGGAAACCCTGTCGTATATTGGATCGTTATAAATCGGACCCTATTTTCCCACAGACGTGATCTTACAAATGGGGCTTGCGTTCTTGAAAGCGGGCTAGAAAACCAATTTTTCACAAAAAAGGCTAGACATATATAGCATTAACCATTCTCAGTGTATAACATGTGAGAAAAAAGTCCCATAATTGCTATAAATTCATATGACAAAGGTCTTAAGTGTACATAACCAGAATCTTTATTTAGACTGGAGGAGGAATCCGATGAGCTATGAAGCTCTTTCTCACAGATGTCCAGCAGGGGCAAGTCAGAAAGTTACAACAAACAATACAAAAGCCGATATGAGTGCAACGTACAGAAAAGGTAATCAAGTCACTGAAATAAAAATTACAGAATGCGTAAGTACATACAGCAAAACCTTGGATTGCGAGTAACTTGGTCTGCGAGTGTTTTGCAAGACGAGCAAAATTTGTAAATAAATATTAATTTGATAAACGAGTGAGGAGCTTGCAATACGAGTAGTACGTATACGCTTAGTCTGCCAAGCGTCACGTGGCCACAACTGATATACGAGTGCTTTGATATACGAGTGCTTTGGATTACAAACACGTTTCCGGAACGAATTATGCTCGCAATCCAAGGTTTTACTGTACATTTCTGACGATTTTTCAACACTAAATGCAAGCTTGGGCAAGGCAGTAAAACAGCAATACAGTCCCAGATCACACCAAGACAATACACAATCCCTCAATAAAATTGCACATTAATATTTAACGATCGATACATGGGTAAGGATCAAAGCTGCAAATCACATTGAGAAATGTGGTTGTAGGTAGTACTAATCTTAATGCTTAATGTATTTTTTAAAGAAAGATTTACGATGTTCAAGGAGGAAACAAGGTTGCACCAAAATATTGGTGCTGCCACGGCTAGGGCTTTGTCACCTATTCCAAGTTCAAAATTGCTTAAATATACGAACAGAATTGGACCCACCTTGTGGAACACCCTTTGTTATTTTAATATTTGTGGACGAGATGTAATCACCATGTACCTTGTGAAAACGGTCCAAGAGGCAGCTCTTAGACCATTTTATTGCACTGTATCCGGATCTATTTGTTATTTTGCTATTTAGTGGTCTACAGTAATACATCGGAGTAAAATTTTGGTTACCTGCAGAAGAAATTATAAGCGCGATACATTCAAAGGTGCGCGGGTCAGATACAGTAGTGAGTTGTATGCAAGGTAGGTCATTTTCACGTACAGTGAGGGAAAAAAGTATTTAATCCCCTGATTTTGTACGTTTGCCCACTGACAAAGAAATGATCAGTCTATAATTTTAATGGTAGGTTTATTTGAACAGTGAGAGACAGAATAACAAGAAAATCCAGAAAAACGCATGTCAAAAATGTTATAAATTGATTTGCATTTTAATGAGGGAAATAAGTATTTGACCCCCTCTCAATCAGAAAGATTTCTGGCTCCCAGGTGTCTTTTATACAGGTAACGAGCTGAGATTAGGAGCACACACTTAAAGGGAGTGCTCCTAATCTCAGCTTGTTACCTGTATAAAAGACACCTGTCCACAGAAGCAATCAATCAATCAGATTCCAAACTCTCCACCATGGCCAAGACAAGATTGTAGACCTACACAAGGCTGGAATGGGCTACAAGACCATTGCCAAGCAGCTTGGTGAGAAGGTGACAACAGTTGGTGCAATTATTCGCAAATGGAAGAAACGTCAATCTCCCTTGGCCTGGGGCTCCATGCAAGATCTCACCTCGTGGAGTTGCAATGATCATGAGAACGGTGAGGAATCAGCCCAGAACTACACGGGAGGATCTTGTCAATGATCTCAAGGCAGCTGGGACCATAGTCACCAACAAAAACAATTGGTAACACACTATGCCGTGAAGGACTGAAATCCTGCAGCGCCTGGAAGGTCCCCCTGCTCAAGAAAGCACATTTCCATGCCCGTCTGAAGTTTGCCAATGAGCATCTGACTGATTCAGAGGACAACTGGGTGAAAGTGTTGTAGTCAGATGAGACCAAAATGAAGCTCTTTGGTATCAACTCAACTCGCCGTGTTTGGAGGAGGAGGAATGCTGCCTATGACCCCAAGAACACCATCCCCACCGTCAAACATGGAGGTGGAAACATTATGCTTTGGGGGTGTTTTTCTAAGGGGACAGGACAACTTTACCGCAGCAAAGGGACGATGGACAGGGCCATGTACCATCAAATCTTGGGTGAGAACCTCCTTCCCTCAGCCAGGGCATTGAAAATGGGTCGTGGATGGGTATTCCAGCATGACAATGACCCAAAACACACGGCCAAGGCAACAAAGAAGTGGCTCAAGAAGAAGCACATTAAGGTCCTGGAGCGGCCTAGCCAGTCTCCAGACCTTAATCTCATAGAAAATCTGAGGGAGCTGAAGGTTCGAGTTGCCAAACGTCAGCCTCGAAACCTTAATGACTTGGAGAAGATCTGCAAAGAGGAATGGGACAAAATCCCTCCTGAGATGTGTGCAAACCTGGTGGCCAACTACAAGAAACGTCTGACCTCTGTGATTGCCAACAAGGGTTTTGCCACCAATTACTAAGTCGTGTTTTGCAGAGGGGTCAAATACTTATTTCCCTCATTAAAATGCAAATCAATTCATAGCATTTTTGACATGCGTTTTTCTGGATTTTATTGTTGTTATTCTGTCTCTCACTGTTCAAATAAACCAACCATTAAAATTATAGACTGATCATTTCTTTGTCAGTGGGCAAACGTACAAAATCAGCAGGGGATCAAATAGTTTTTTCCCTCACTGTATACTGCCACACCTCCTCCTATATCCTTCAAGTCCTATATGGCTAGGATTTATATGCGAGGAAAGCATGTTTAAGATGCACAAAAGATGTCCGGGCAAAGATTATTAATTATAATTTGAATTCTTCAAATTTAGCTATAAGGCCTCTAATATTGCCATGGACAATGCCAAAACACCCTCTCTGTTTTAAAACTATATTGAGTTAAAAGTGAGTAATGGAGAAGATGTGGCGGTAATGGAAACATAATTGATTTCAACACCGGACCGAATCAACAATATGAATATTAAAAGTTTTACAATATATTTTGGAATAGAGTGCTGCCCTAAATGGTGTTTTCTGACATGCTAAGGCACGTGCTTCTCAAACAATATCATAACATTGTAGAATAGTGTACACTGGAGGAAAAGAATGAACAAAATATTGGAGGTCCCATTGTTTGACAAAGTAAAGGGGTTATGTTGTGTGATGGACGAGGTGAGAGTGACGAGGTGAGTTTGATGATTTGAGCAACAATGGGCTAAAAACACAGACCAGAGTTAGTGAGTGGGAAATCAGCAGCAGCAGTCCGTTCTACCGGTTCCAGACAACCCAGTGGCAGCACAAACGCCAGCCAGGTGTAGGCCCTCTCTCGAGTAGGAGCCCATCCTTAAGGCCATGGCCACAGCACTATGTCTTCATAGAGTGAACTCCCAGAGTAGTGGCTGAGGCAACAGAGCAGCTGGGGCAGTCAGCTCACCGGAGTTGGTGGTGGTGGCGACGGCGCGCGCGGCACTGGAGATGCACGGCACAGGGAATCAGCTCCGTGCTCTTCACGGGGTGTTCTCCATGGACGGGGAGGTGGCTCCGCTGGTGGAACTCAGCTCCCTGGCCAAGCAGCACGGAGCGCCGCTCTTCGTCGACGAGTGCCACGCCACGAGCGTTGTCGGTGGTTCCGAGGGACGGTGCCCAGATCCACGTGCGGCACGCCGCTGCCCACCTCCAGCGCCGCGTGCCGGCCTTCGTGTCCGCAGGGCGCACGCACCGGGTCCTCCTCGCCTTGGTTGAGAGTCCGTGGGGAGTCGCTGATGCTGAATGGCGAGGGTGATTCGGGGCACCGAGGGGGGAGCCCACAGCTCACATGCACGCATTGGCACTGCCTGCCTCGCCACTCCAGAGCTCATGGGCCAGTTTTGCGTGGTTTTGTAAACTTGCCAATCTCGTGATGAAGGGCAGCAGTCCTGCGTGCGTCTTCAAAGGCCACTGGTCTTAGTGGTGGTCATGATCAGAAACCACGTAGCGAGCAGTGCATTGACCAGCGTGAAGTATGGCTAATCAGCCAGCCGTGGATATATCATGGCTGCTGCTGATGTATTAGTGAGAGCTTGGGGAGGCCTTCATCCAGCAGTGGACAAACACTGGCAGATGATGCTTTAGAGGGGGGAGATGAGTGGAGTCTTCATCCAGCAGTGAATAGACCATGGCTGATGATGCTGATGGTGAATTAGTGGGGGGGGAGAAGGCTACGTGAGGCCTTCATCCAGCAGGAGATTGACAAGAGGCCGTGTTGGAAAAAATATTATTTAAAAAAAAACTATAATTACAAGTTCTGGAGAGCAAAGGAGTAAACCCTTTACCCCGACCAAATGTCTCCGCACTTTACGAGGACAGGGGCAACACAGCCTGACAAGGAATCCAAGTGAGCCCGAGGATGAGCCATGCCGACCAGGCCCCACCACAATTAACCTCTTGTAAGCACTTAACGCTCGACAGCTTTAGTTGTCTAATTGACTCCACAGTCTAATTAAGAGGTAATCAACACCTACAGACCAGAGGGTTTTAAACAAATTTTACTATAAATCTTTATTAAACAAGTGAGGATGAGTTGGGGAGTAACTTGACCTTTTGAAAAAAGAATTAAGATTCACTGTAGAAAGGATGGTAAAGGAAAACCTTCTGGTTCATCAGTCATCACTGGGGTGGGACTCTGCTAGTGGGCTCTTCGGAAGTGCAATTCGTGGTGCTACAGGCTTTTTGAAGAACAAGTCCAATGATGTCTGAACAGCAGCCTTCTTTTGCTCCCTGTAGATCTCCCTGTAACAAGTATAACCACTCCTGATGATTTCGCTTGCTTTAGAACTCCTTTCAAAGTTTGGATCATTTTTCTCAAGCAAGGCCATTCCCGTTTCAAAATGTTGGAAGGCTTCACTCAAGACTTTTGTTGACAACGATGGGTGAGGAGTCTCTTGTGTTTGCGTCTCTTCTTCAAGTCTTTGTTGTTCTAGCTGCAGAAGGTCTTCATTGCTGAGCTCATGTGCATGAGATGCCAGCAGCTCACCAACATCTTCTGGTGCCACTTCTAGCTGCAGTTGACCAGCCATCTCAACAACATTTTCGGTCACCTCTTCCACTGTGTCAGTGAACCCTTGAAAATTAGAGACAAATTCTGGACACAGTTTCCTCCAAACTCCATTGAGGTTAGATTGTTTCATCTCTTTCCACGATGCAGCAATGTTTTTTACGGCATCCAAAATACTGAAGCCCTTCCAAAATTCTGTCAGCGTCGGTCCACCTTCCTTATCGGTTGCACTGATGGCCTGAGCAAAGGTTTGCCTGAGGTAGTAAGCCTTAAATGATGACATGACACCCTGGTCCATAGGCTGGAGCAATGCGGTGGTGTTAGGAGTCAAGAAAACGACCTTGATGTTTGGGTCAAAGCCTTCAACAGACACAGGATGGCAGGGAGCATTGTCCAAAACCAAAATTGCCTTAAATGCAAGGTTGTTAGTCCGGCAATATTCTTTGACAGCAGGCACAAAATAAACACGAAACCACTCCTCGAAAATTGCACCAGTAACCCGAGCTTTGGGATTTGACTTCCAGATGACTGGAAGAGTATTCTTGGTATAGCCCTTGAGTGCTCTTGGGTTTTCGGAATGATACACCAGCAAAGGTTTCAATTTGAAGTCCCCAGCTGCATTTGACCCAAGCACAAGTGTGAGTCTGTCCTTTTCAGATCTAAATCCAGGCATTGAATTTTCCTCCTTGGCAATATAAGTACTGGAAGGCATTTTCTTCCAGAAAAGACCTGTTTCGTCCACATTAAAAACTTGCCTGGCACAGTACCTGCCCTCCTCAATAATTTCAGCCAATGTTCTTGAAAAATCACCGGCTGTTGCCACATCTGCACTTTTAGCTTCACCTTTAACCCTCATTTCATGAAATTTGAACCTTGATTTAAATCTATTAAACCAACCTTTACTGGCCTGGAAGGTTTCTGATTGGGAGCCTTCACCACGCCTCGCCTTAAGGTGCTCAAACAAACTCCTCGCCTTAGCCTGAATTATTGCAAGGCTAACGGGGACATGGTGGCGAGTTTGATCGTCGAGCCACACTATCAAATGCTTTTCCATTTCTGCAATAAGGCCAGCACGTTGGCGAATGTATGCGGCCTGCATAGGCGCCTGGCCCTTCACCTCTTCCAATATTCTGGCCTTATCCTTCAAAATGGTCACCACAGTAGTACGAGGTAGTTCCAACTTTCGAGCAATTTCGGTATTTGATTCGCCATTGTCTGCCAATTTAATTATTTTGTATTTAATTTCCAAAGTCACCGACTTTCTGCTACGCTTCGCAGTCGAAACGTCACTTGCCGATGTGTTTTTCCTTTTATCAGCCATATTTAACGGGGGGTTTAATGGGTAAAAACTACAATTTCACATTCAGGTGGTCAAACGCGTCAGGAGCGGCGGAGTGTAATCGCTGTAATGTCTCCTCGGTGTTTGTGGATCGGGCATGACATTGTCGTTGTTGTTCTGCATCTACATCAGCCATACGAAAGAAGAAGCAGAAGAATAGGTAAAAAATCTACAACTGAAAAAAACCACTCGAGAATAACAAAAGCTCCATGCAAAGTCACGTCTTAAACAAGACTGACTGGTCAAATGTTTTGGTCATGTCGGAAGATGAATCGTTAATTGATCCATTGGTGCCGTTATATTTATTTTTCTTCAGACTGACTGCTCTGATGTGTTCAGTCATGTCGGAAGATGCGTCGTAAATTGATTCATGGGTGGAATCTTTTTACACGCTTTTATTATTACACGCTTTTTATTATTATTTACACACTTTTATTTAACTCACTCTGTCTGTGGTCGTATCCTCAAATCTTGTAACTCAATTTTAACCCACTTCCCAATGTCGTATCGACTGCAAACTTGGTATAGGTATGTCATACCGATGACAATTACTATATTCTATCATTAATAATACAAACTATATATTTTTAAGCAATCTTTTTTATAGCTTATGTTTCGGCTTGGGTCTAATTGTCCACGCTCAACTCATGTTGGCTGTAAATCACCAAGGTCCCTTACGTTATGGCAAGCTTCGGGGCCACTTTATGGAATCGTGGAGTTCTACATTTCATTAAAGCGTGTTTTTAAAAAAATATTTTTTAATATTACTTATTTTTACTGTACCGACTGTTCAGTTATGTCAGAAGATGCGTCGTAAATTGATCTTTCGAATTGCTTTTTTTGAGTTTAGTTTGTGGTCCTTCCCCTGCACCTCCGATTTCACGGTTGGCCACGTACGGTGCGAAAGAAATTAAACATGCATACAGTATAGACATCGTAAATGTGCATCGTAGTAAATCGAACAGGTCAAGTAGCTCATCACAATCCTATACTGTACTCAATCCTACTCAGCGTCAGTGCGATTCGTCAATAACAGTGGCCTTAAATTATAAATAACATATATAAGTGACGGTTCGGGCTATGGTCCTTTATGTGCTATGAAACACATTAATGCGACGTTTCAGGCAATGGCCCCTTCTGTGTGCTGTGAAGGGCCTTTGCCACTAAAACTTCGCCTCACAATGCATATATATATTTTTTTGTTCCTAGGGCACCCTTACTAACGAACGCGTTGACAGACTGAGACGAGATTACTGGCGGCGCAAGTGAATTAATGTCGCTATAGCACGCGCAAATAAAATAAAATGTTTAAAGTCTCGCCTAGGAGGCTGCTTCACCTCCAGCTAGGCCGCACCTTCAAAAACATTCAACCACCCCCCCCCCCGCCAAAGTGAAACAACATTCGCTCGTGTTTCTTTTTAACATTACCAATTTAAAAAAAAAAACGTCTTGCGGTTAATTCGCGTAAAATATTCACGCTTAACAATTAATTTCGTTGCAGCAGCAACAACAAAAAGACCAAATCGCGACACGAACCTGGTGAGAGAGCCGAGCGCGGGACTGCAGAGAGAGTCGGGGGGGGGGGGGAGAGGCCTCGCCTAGACTCGAGCAATCGATCGCTGCGAGAGACGAACTAAAGATTAATCTAATCAAGATTAAAGATCAATCAAAATCGATCTCGTAGCAAACCCTTCTTCCCTTCTTTAAAAGACGGTGCTCTTGCTCGCTCGCACTCTCTCTCTCTCAAGGCACGGGCGTGTTCTGTTGACACGTGTTAAATTGTTTTTGTTGTTGTTTATTACAGTTTAGCATTCGTGCTCCAGGCATCAAAGTTATTCTGAGAACGCGCACACACAACAAAATTGTATAAATGTTTATTCTTTATTAGTGTTATAAAGTGCACGCCTCCAACCCTCATTATTATCCACCTTGATTATTTTCTGCCTCCGTGCGTGTGCTACGAAGGGTCATTGCACGAAACGTCGCTTATTGTCACATTTTGTGTTTGTTAAATACTTTTAAAGAATTCTCAAATGGTTATTGATTAACGCACGCCTGTCAATCCCTTATTAGTGTCCTTTGCTTATTACAGACCAATTCAGACCTTTATTGGTCACCACGTGCGCTTATAAATCTCAACGTTGATCCTAAAAAGTCTCATAGTTTAATTTATTTTGTATAGCCCTGTGAGCCATTCGGCTCTTGAATCGGGTGCAACCGCAACAAACAAAAAACATGAACAAGAAAACATCTTAAAGTGATTATGTGACTGTGCAAACAGAAAATACATGAAAAAAATATCAAAATATTCCTGAAATAGCACCGTACACCAACGCTGTGTGCAAAAATCCCAGTGGGATGCAAGTCAAACAACAAGAAAACTTAGATTAAGGCCATCAGTCTAACTCCGTACTACAATAAACAAAAACATGGCCAAACAAAAACAACTTTTTAGAAATCACCAAAATAAAGCCATAAATGCAATGTAACGGTGATCCATAGGAACTGTGACCGAATTTGTAACAATAAACTACATAAATAACATGTCACACCAAACCCTAGAGCCACAGCTGGCTGCATGAGTCACTCCACAAACAACATCACAAGGGAGAGAAACACAAAATAGACGCAATAAAGTTGTTGTTTTTGCCCACATTAAAACGACTGTATGAACCTAAAAACACTTAATTTCCCTGTACAAGAATACGGAGCTAAACCGTGTACGGGTTGACGGATACGTTCACGTGTTGATTCCTTTTAAAAAACAGTCTGCCTCAGCAGCAGACCACGCTTTCCCACCTGATGACGGACGCTTGTGTTGCGCCCGAAACGTCGTGATTTATTTTATTTTTCTACCTACGTGGCTTTACCGAAAGAACCAAAGATTATGGATTCCTTGCAGTCACGCAAGCTTCAAATCGAGACTGCGTTGATTTCTGTTCAATCATCTCCCGCGTCGCTCTTATCCATTGCAATGCCTCGCGTGTGCGCGTGGCGAACGGGTCGCCCCCCCCCCCCACTGCAGGCCACGCCCCCTCCTTGAATGCGCGATGTCAGCTGAGAGGTTTTTTTTCCTTTAGACGACACCTCGTGCATGGCACGGTGCCAGCTGAGAGGTTTTTTTCCCCTTCCCTTTGGACGCCTCTCACGTACGATGCCGACCCCCTTTCCCTTATCACGAACTAATTCACACCTTATTGGTCACCCCGTGCCCCTTATAAATCTCAACGTTCATCCTACAAAGTCCCATCACAATGGAGAAACACAAATAGACAATAATACAATATAGGGTGGCTGAACCGTGATGGGTTGATGGATTTGCATCACCCATCCTGGAATCTCAACCACGAGATCCCCCAGAACGCTGCTGCCACGCGAACGCAGTGGTGGAGGAACGCGAAGCGACCGCGAAATGGTGAAGACACCTCCTCCTCCTCATATGCTTGGTTCTTTCGGTAAAGTCACCACGTAGAAGGGAAACAATGAAATAATAAAAAAATTCTCACGACATTTCGACCGCAACACAAGCAATCATCATCAGGTGTGAAAACCACAGCGATAAAATTTCGAGACCCAGACGTCACCCATCATCAACCTCTTTGACATTGCTCAGAATTAGTATTGACACTGCAGGAGAAATCCGATGAGCTGTGAAGCTCTTTTTTCACGGATGTCCAGTAGGGGGCGTGTGCCAGAAAGTTACAACAGCAATGAATATTTTTTTTAAAAGACCATAGGAAAGGTAAGCATATCACGATAAAACATTTAAACTTCTTAAAATTGTACTAGGTAATGCCCACTGAGCTATTAGCTTCTTTATTCAACGGAGGAGATGTACAGCAGAACGACACTGACTCTCTCTCTCGTGAATCCCTCATGAGAGAGACCTCTCTCATGAGGGATTCCCATTCCGACCGCAGGTATTGTGGTCAATGCAAATATGACTCCTTGTAAAAAAAGGTGTCAGTTTTTTTGCCAGATTAAAGGGTAAAAAACCAATTATCATATTTTGCTACTGGCAAAGGAGGTTCCAATGTTGTGTAAATGCTTACCCCGAGCTCTCATACTCTGATGGTGCATTGTCTTTGAGTTGTGCGCCTTTTGGCGTCATCTGGTCCAACACCATGTGAGACTAGGCTGTAAGGAAAGCTGTCTCGGGTGTGGACCAATCAATTTCAAGGGCAGTGCATAATACATTATCAGAGTTATGTTTTTTGTTTGCATTCCGACCGCAGGTATTGTGGTCAATGCAAACATGACTCCTTGTAAAAAAGGTGTCAGTTTTGTTGGCAGATAAAAAGGTAAAACACCAATTATCATGTATACAGGGTGTTTAAAAAAGATGGACCCAATTTCAAAGCAGAATATTTCACGATCGCAACATGTTACAGTTACACGAAAAGTTACAAACGGTTTAATGAGTTATCACGTTTTACTAACCATTTTATAAATGCTCTACGTGCCCTCCATCTTCTGTAGGTACGGACAACATCGAGGCGATAGTTGAATTCGTCCCAAACTTCTCTAAAAGTGTCTTCTTCCACTGAAGTCACCACTGCCGTGATTCTGTTTTTGAGGTCATCCAGATTAGTTGCTAATGGTGGCACAAAAACACCACGGGTCTTTGACGTATGCCCACAAGAAAAGGTCGCAGGGTGTGGTGGTAAAACCGGGAGCAAGCGAGGGCTTTACCATTCTGGCGAATTGCCCGATGATGCTGGATGTATTTACCAGCGAAACGTCGTACTCAAACTGTAAATGTTGTGGATTCACTCTTCAACACACCGGTGGGCTAAAGTAGTGAATTATTTGTCTTTTTGATTTAAAGCTTCCGTGACTGCAGTAATTCATATTCTTAGTTTTTTCGGTAAAGTCACGTTGAAGGGAAACAACAAAATAATAAAATATATATAAAACAATACTACTTTACTACTTCATTGTTTTATATATATTTTATTATTTTGTTGTTTCCCTTCAACGTGACTTTACCGAAAAAACTAAGAATATTTGTCTTTTGTCAACGTGACACTTTTTTTGCTAATTGGCCGTGTCGGGTGGTGGAGGGTTACGACACATTTATAAATAACGCGATCTAACCCAAAAACCTTTATTATGAATAATATTGGTCGCGAAAGCCTACGTGTTAAACAGGGTGTGGTGTTGTCTGGGGGTGATCTTGGGGGCCAAGAGTGTAGCGCCAAGTCTTGGGGTCCCGTACGACCTATCCAACGTTGAGGCAACGTTGTCTTGCGAATGACTGAGGCTAGGGGCTGTTTGTGCGCTGGGAGAGGCATCTAGCGGTAATCATTTGAAACTCTAAGCCCCGCCCTCTCTATGCCCCGCCCTCTCTATGCCCCGCCCTCTCAAGTGGTAAGAGTTTCATTCATGGGCGGTTCGTGGTTGCAGAGATATAGCGATTTCAAATCGGGTCTAGTTTTTTTTTAAACACCCTGTATATTATTCTAGTTGCACCGTGTATTGGGTTTAGATTAAGAGAGTCTCGCAGTTTGACAGTATTAATAAATAAAAAAGATGTAAAGTTTGCAATACTCACAATTAAGTTATCGTGTAGCTTGCTTCCATGCGTATAACACGTAGGCTTTCGCGACCAATATTATTCATAATAAAGGTTTTTGGGTTAGATCGCGTTATTTATAAATGTGTCGAAACCCTCCACCACCCGACACGGCCAATCAGCAAAATAAAGTGTCACATTGACAAAAGACAATTAGTTCACTACTTTAGCCCACCGGTGTGTTGAAGAGTGAATCCACAACATTTACAGTTTGAATACGACGTTGCGCTGGTAATTCTGGCGAATTGCCCGATGATGCTGGATGTAATTACCAGCGAAACGTCGTATTCAAACTGTAAATGTTGTGGATTCACTCTTCAACACACCGGTGGGCTAAAGTAGTGAACTCCAGCGCTGTCCTCCAGACAGTCTCGTCCCTTCACCTGATGAAGGCCGCTTGTGTTGTGGCCGAAACGTCGTGAGAATTTTATTGTGTTATTTTATTTTTTCAATTTATTATTTTATTCTCATTCTTCGTGACTTTACCGAAAGAACCAAAGAAGATATTTTTCTTTTGTCAACGTGACACTTTATTTTGCTGATTGGCCGTGTCGGGTGGTGGAGGGTTTCGACACATTTATAAATAACGCGATCTAACCCAAAAACCTTTATTATGAATCCCATGCGTATGTTCGCAAAAAAATCCTTGTGTTCAGTAACAAACACCAGCAGTAGAGGGCGCACTATATTTTCACGCTTGGTATTTTTCGGAAATATGATTTTTGTTCATTTGTAACAATGGATTTGTTTTGTTCCCCATTGATGGTAAATTTTTGAAATATTGTTTAAAAATAAAAACGTCTTAACATGCCTTGTGGCCGACTGAGCCCCTACGCTTCGCATAACGATGCCAAATTACCACCCCCACCACCCCTCTCTCTTCCCATAGTCGCTGTTCGTGCTCAATCTGTGTTGCCGAGCCTTGGCGGTGAAAGCCCCTGGTGGACATCGCTTTGCGCTCTCTTGGCAACACGTGGCTACAAGGAGTGGTGGCTACGGGGGTCAATACTCACGAGAGGATGAGTGGCGGCCGAGCGAGCGGACGCGCTCGAGAGCAATCAAAATGCTCTCACGTGCGGGAAAGTTGTATGAAGGTTGGTCCGGTTGCAGGACAAATGAGAGATGGCGATAGCTTGAGGAAGCCTTCATCCAGCAGTGCTTAGAGCATGGCTGCGGCTGCTGCTACTGCTGAAGATCGTGGTTGTGCAGAAATTCAACGTGAAGGCAGAAAAACGGCTAGTTTTGAACAAAGCATCTTGACGCAAAATTTTCTTTGTCAAACGATGAATCTTATCGCGCTCTCACTCGGCGATAACAGAGCGTTGTGTGTATGTGTGTGGAGAGAGTGGCACATTCAGGTGGGGAGCGGCAGTGTAGCAGTTAGCTCACTACGAACCCGGCTAGCCGAGTTCGATTCCTGCTCACGGCCACCTACACCAGTGAAAATTCTGTCAACTCGGTCCTGTGCCTCCTCTACGTCGACTCAGCCTAAAATGAGTACCCGGTGCGGTGTGTAAATGCCGCCACTGGGGAGACAGAGGCGGTCGAGCGTAGTGCTGGCCACACATCACCTTGTGTGCCGTGCCAGCCTTCAGGCAAGGCCTCCTGAGCTATGTAGCTATTTTTATGAAGCAACCTGGCCACAAATGATAGCTCAGCGAAGTGGCTTACCACGTGGACATTTATAGCAGCCAAATTCTCTAAACGCTGGTTTATAAATGTGGAGGGATAAACCGGAGAAAAATCCACGCAACCATGGGGGAAAGAGCGACACGCAAACTCCAAATACAGGCGTCGTCAGGGTCGGGATCAAACCCACGGCCCGCGGCACCCTGCGAGGTCATTAACATCTCGCCACCGTGCCGCCGTTAGGGGCCGTCCATAAATGACGTCACGCACCTAGGAGGGGGGGGGGGCGGAGTCGGACATTTGTGACGATGTGTGACGAGGGGGGTGGGGGTTTGAGAAATGTGACGTCACATCAAAATGCGCAACTTTAAATAAATATAGACAACACGTTCTACTTAATTAAATATACTTTTTAATAAATGTTTTCCCCTACAACATCAGAGTGCAGCGTCATATTAAATACGCACTACAATGACAGTAATTTAAATCGATTTAAAGCATGTTTTATTTTTTTTGTCGTCATATTTGAGGGGGGGAGGGGTCTGACTTTTTGTGACGCCGTGTGACGAAGGGGGGGGGGTCAAAAATCGTCCAAAACTGCGTGACGTAATTTATGGACGGCCCCTTATATGTTCCGTGCTGTGTCAAATAACACGAACTACGCTGACATCATTGTGATGGAGTGACCGGCTAAGTCACGCGTACTTTGAGCTGGGTGGCTCACGGGGCTAATTCCCGTGCCAGCTAGAGCAACGCCTCTGAATTAATGGGGGTCAAGCCCATTAGGTGCTGCAGTGGGGAGATGTCAACTACCTCGCCTGGTATGCAGGAGGTCGTGGGTTTCATCCCAACCCCGACGCCTGCTGCGGTATATTTGGAGTTTGCGTGTCTCTCTCTCACTGTGGTCGCGTGGATTTTTCTCCGGGTCCTCCGGGTTTTCACTCCACATTTAGAATGGACATCACGCGTTCAGACTATTTGGCTGCGATATATTTCCACGTGTTAAGCCACTTCGTTGCGCTATCATTTGTGGCCAGGTCGCTTCTGAAAAAGAGCCATAGTGCTCAGTGGGACATACCTTGCAAAATAAAAAATAGTTTAGTAAATATATATTTTTTAATTTTATGCAGCAGGAGGACAATACCACAACCGTACACGGGGTTTCATCCTCACTAGGAGTCATCGGTACTACAGCTGTGCCATACCACTCTGCCTTGTGCCTTGGGGGCACTGCTAATTTAAACATAATTTATTACCATTTTAGTCTGAGCACAGTATAATTGACGATAACGTGTGGCTTTTTAGTTGAGTCTTAGTCTGTGGATTTCATTATCTTAGTCCGGTTGATTAAATCAGTCAATGAGTCAACTCTTAGTCATTAAATGTTGGTCTGAGGGCATGCAATTCCTCCTCCACCCTCCACTATCATCGGCTCAACCAATCTCTTTTTTCTCGACACACGAATCCAATCTCGTTATCCTCAGCGTCCTGCAGTCTCTAACAAGGTGACTAAAGTTACCTTCAGCCTGCCTGCCTACCGCAACTCAGGTCACACTCGTGGCGTTCACCTTGCCTCGCCGTGGCCGCTCGCTTTCTGACCTCTGGTGGGCGGCAGTCAGAGTCACCATCACGTTCGATGATCGATGAATTTTTTCATTCTCCCCTGAGCCATCGTTGGCCCAAAATACAAAACAACGACTTGGCAGGCGTCGAAGGAGGCCTCCGTTCAGTAATGAAAGAGATCGTGGCTGCTGCTAGCGACGATGACCACAAATGGCACCGTCTCCCGGTGTATATTTCGACTATCTCTGATCGTTAACATTTTGTATGACAACAAAGCAGGTTGGTAAATGTCCGCTAATTGAATCCTAAGGTGCTTTTCCCCTTCGGATCAAAACAGCAGACTGCCGCTAATCGGCTTCGAAAGGTACACATGCAAATGTGTGTAATGCTATTAGCAATCCGCATACACTGAAGCTTTATTTCGCCGGGAAGGTAGCGGTCCCCACTTCGCTGTAGCCAGTTGCTAAACATGCCGATTGGTGCCGGCTGGTGGGATCCCACGGTTACTCACTTGAGCCCTTCTTTTGGAATTCCGTCTCTCGCGTCTTCTAGGGGAGCGAATGGGCCACGACAGTAGGTCAGGGGAAAACGAGGACTGACAATTAGGAAGGAAATACGGAAAATTTGGGGAGGGGGACAGAGGACAAAGGAAGAATATCCTAAAATTAAAAAATAAAAACATTTTAGATTGCAAGATGTTAAAACAATAAGTGCTAAAGAAAAGTGAAGAGGATTTTATATTTTTATTACACAGAAAAGAAAAATAAGGCGAGAAAGGAAGGTTCATGAGCAAAAAACCTAAGATTTAACAAAAAAATCAAGTAAATACCAAGACCACAGGTAAAGACGGCAGGGGTCGTGATAATTACAGAACCAGAGTCAAGCTTTAACAAATACACATCACGTGCTAAAACGTGCTGATGCAGTAGCGGACAACAACGCAGACAAGAGAGTGGCTTGCTTTTTTTTTAGACTTTACTGATCGGAACGCAAACGCAAAAGAGGACAAACGGGCGCGAAGGACGGGGGCCACCTCCCGAAAGCGCCGCCAAGATGTGCGACATGGACTGTCTCGACAACCTGATCGCCAACACGGCTTACCTGGAGGCGCGCAAGAGCGGCGACGGAGGCACCAGGGATAAGGCTCGCCGGAGCATCGTGCTGCCCACCCTGACGCAGGGCCGGAGCTTGCGCAAAACCATTCCGGACTCGAGCGTCGACTACGGCTCCGTGTGCGAGGCTCAGCCGATCGGCAGGCACTTCTTCCGCGAGTTCCTCGACTCGCAGCCGCAGTACTCGAGCGTCGCGGCTTTCGCGGACGCCGCCACCAAATTCGAGTTGGCCGAGGATGACGGCGGCGGCGGCGGCGTCGGCGGCGGCCGCGGGGCGATGCTTGACGAGGCGCTCGCGTTCCTGCGGCGGGACTCCGGCGAGCGCCCGGCGTTCGTGAGCGAGTCGCTCGCCGCCACCGCGGGCTCGTCGGACGCGGCGGAGCGAGAGGCGGCGATCGCGCTCGCCAAGCGAGAGATGAGGACGTTCCTGTCGGGCGCGCCGTTTCGCGGGTTTCTCGGGAGCGCCTTCTACGAGAAGTTCCTCCAGTGGAAGGTGCTGGAGAGGAAGCCCATGACCGACAAGAACTTCTACGAGTTCCGCATGCTCGGCAAAGGCGGCTTCGGAGAGGTGAGCGGCCGAGGCGGAGGTGGCCGAGTCCGGTACCGTCCGCCAACGTCAGGTGCCCAGCTGTTATCCGCCCAAGCCCCCAAGCGAGCTCCCTTTTTAGGGGTCCGTCATGGACCCCAAGTCCCACAAACCTCCCCCCCCCCGCCTCCCCAAAGCAACCCCCCTTCCAAGGAGACTTCAGCGGCCCAGGTGCAGGATTGATCAATTGGACAGGGGGGCTCATTTAATTATCTTAGTTTCCCCTGCTGAGTCGCTCTCAGCCCTTCTGAACTTCCTGCTATTTGGCCTTTGACGTGTGTGGCTCTGGGTTTCGGGGCATCTCGTGCGTGTCATTGTGGAATGCGGTGTCCAGTGTGAGCCCACATGCGTCTCTGCGGTCACCCAATGTACACCCCCCCCCCCCCCCCACCATGCGTTTTGAGCCCATGGGGCCCAGGGCTTTTCACTTTACGTCTCGAGTCCAGCTTACCACTGGGACGGCAGAGCATCAGTGACCTCTCTCGCGGCGGTCTAAGCTCGGGTCACGTCCCTCCCCCTATTAGCGAGCGAGCAATCCAACGCTCAGTGAATTCTGCTTCGCAGTGATATGAAGGTCGACAAATGTAAGGATTCCAAAAGAGACGTCGCTACGAACGCTTTGGCTGCCACACGCGAGATGCCCCCCCCCCCCTTCTTGCCGGTAACAGTGCCGGATTATCCCAGTAGCACAAGTAGCTACTACACATGTAGTAGCTACGCATGTAGTAGCTACGCATGTAGTAGCTACACATGTAGTAGCTACACATGTAGCTACGGGCCCCGCACTTTCAAGGGCCCCGCGCTAAATGCGTTCAAGCTATCAATTCCGCTTCAGTGATTCTGCACTTGCTCTATTACTCTAGAACTATACCGCCTTCAACTTTTATGAACGACCGGGTGTTTAAGGTTAGAGATTTGTCGTATTATCTGGCTGTATAACAAATGAAAAAACAAACAAAAAAATTACTGTGCAAGTTAAAAATGTATGTGTTTAATATTTATGTGTTTTTATTTTATTTCGGGCCCCTTTATAACACACTGTCCAGTAACGTATCTGAAACCTCCGCTCCGCGTCTCAGTCCGTGCGTCTTGTGGCCGCCTCTCCCTCCGTATTCCACGACCGTGTCCCGGTGCGCGTGCCGGTTATGTGTCTGTCCCACGGTGCGCGTCTCAGCTTGTCTTGCGCGTCTAGGCGTTTGTGCCCCATGCGTCTCGCGTGTGCACCACGCGTGAGTCGATCTGCGTGGCATTCCGCGTGTGATCATGCCAGGCCGAGGTGGTCTAAAGAGCTTGAACTCTTCACTACTCATGCAGTTATTACATCACAACCCGGTGGTTTCTTTGTTGTTGAACTTTTGACACAACAGTCAGTGTTTGTATATCCCTCAAAGTTATGATGAAATGCAACCAACCATGCCAATCGGATGGTGTGGGGGAAGGACGATAAACTAACCACACCAACAAAAGTGTGAAGACTTTTTGGTGTGGTTCCTTACATATTCGGGTTTTTTTCTATTCACAGTTGCTGAGCACAGGCACAACGTACCCACAACTCCCAAGCGGCTAGCAATAAAATTGGACTGGCGCATATGTAATAAGATCGCTATTAATACGGTTATTGAATTGACCAAGGTTATGATGATGATGATGATTATTCTAATAAGAGCTCGAAACAAAGGAGGTGACGAAAGGGAATTCCAAAGCGGAGCAGTGCGAGGGAGCAAGCAGAAAGGGAACTGCGTGGTGTGTGGGTGAGTCGGTGAGCAGGTGGATGGGTCAGTGGGTGGATGAGTGAGTGTGTTTTTTCAGCGCAGTTTAGCGGTTAAAGGCAAAAACGAAACTATTTTTTTTTTACCAGGTAAGGCCCCACTGAGCTGCATAGCTCTTTTGCAGAAGCGACTTGGCCACGAATTATAGGTAAAAGAAGTGGCTTATCACATGGAAATGCATTGCAACCAAATACAACTAAACGCACGTCTATTCTAAATGTGGAGGGAAAACCCGAAGGACCTGGAGAAAAATCCTCGCGACCACGGGAAGAGAGAACATGCAAACTCCAAATGTACAGCAGGTATCAGGGGTCGGGATCGAACCTACGACCTCCTGTATACCAGACGAGGTAGTTAACATCTCACCACCGGTGGCAAAGGGAGACACGTCCAGAGACCCGTGCTGTGTGGCTGCCTTGTTCTCTTAAGAACTTGCGAAAGAAACGCTGAGCCAGTTGAAGCTATGGATTTACAGAATTACTAGACTTTCCTAAAGCATAATCAGGGATCTCTCTCGACCACGGCTTCGCCGCGTAAGCCCCACTCCTCTCCAAATTCGCAGCCCTCGATCTGTTTCTGATTTGTGACCTCAGAGTGCCAGTGTCTCTTCAAATCACCGTTCCTTATTTAACTACTCAAAGGCTCAGCGAGACTTTGTGATCTCCCCTGCGATCGTGGGACCTTGGCGACTGCAAGTTATTCAGGAACAAGCGTTGCTGATGTTTTGATTAATTTTCTTACAGGACTATACTCGTGTAGGAAAACTATTACAGTCAAGCGCGAGATTCGTGACTGCAGGTTTATGGGTGAACCTTGCATCAATGTGGCCGGTTTTCCATAGGGTCGGTCCCAAACAGCAACACAACTTCAGACGGAAAGGTTTTTGATCATATGAGATATTTGTTTACGAGAGTTTAGCGTGACTCCCTATTACATGCATACATATGTACTGTAGTGGGTTCTACGGAGACACACACTTGAACTTGGAGGCAACACGTTCATCACCACACCCCAACAGGGTAACTAGATAAACGTAACAACGGGTTAACTAGACCACAACGGGGCAACTACATAACCGGGTCAGTCACTAACACACTGCCTTACCCACGACGCCGAGCGTAAAGATCGTAGACCGAGGACCGAAGAGACGTAGCACCGACAGGTTCCATTCCAACAGACAGCCAAGATTGTTCTCGGGACCTCCCCTTTATGCTCCTGAGCGTGGCCTCGCTCCGCCTTCAGCCACGCCCCCTTCTGGATCTCACCAGAAGGTTCTCGACCGAGCATCACGTGTCCCTCAAGCCCCCTTTTGGCCCCCCTAGCTACTCTGTCCCGGTCACGTGCCCTCTCGGGTTTACCCAGAGTCTCACGTCCTCACTTGCCCTCTCTCTGACCCTCACCAGAACCATGCCCCCTAGGGCTCGCTTCCATGCCATGCCTACTCTGGTGCCAGAGAGAGGCTCAAGATGCACAGTTCCACTCTTGTGACAGTAGCTGGCGCTTAACGCCATAGTGACTCCATTTACGTCACTACACATACAGACAGATAGACGAACAGAGGTCATGCAAAAGTACTTTCACCCTCACTTGAAAGGGAGTAAAACACCGCACTCTGAATGCACGTGTCTTGCCACGGCAATACATGTGTGTAAGTGTGTGTGTGTCAGTGTATGTATCAGTGTGTATGCACGTGTGTGTGTACGTGTGTGTGCGTATACAAACGGTAGTGTAGCGGTTAGCGGGCTGCGCTACGAACCCGGCGATCCGAATTCGATTCCCGCTTATGGCCAACACTGGTGACGATTATCTGACCTGGTTCCTGGGCCTCCCCTACGTCGACTCAGCCCCACATGAGTACCTGGTGCGGTGCGTAAAAGCATCGCTACTAGGGAGACAAAGGTGGCCAGGCGTGGTGCTGGCCACCCAACAACTCGTGTGTCGTTCCGGCTTTCATAGGTGCTCGCTAACAGCACTTGCCCCAACAGTCTGTTGTGTCCGAGTGTTGGGCAATAACCCTTCGACCAATTTGCCTGATTTTCAATCGGGTAAGTCCCTAATCACAACATAATCTTACACTCAGCTTTGGTCCATGCTGGGTAACCCTTTACCAGAGTTATCATGGCTCCACATTACAGAACTTATGGCAAAATGTTGGTGAACCTCGCCTGTTCTTCTGTGACAGGGTAAGCCCCAAATAGTAACACGACTTTATACTCAAGTTGGGTTCACATTAAATCACCTTTCCAAGACTTATTCTGACCCCATGCTGCAAAACTGAGTTAATTGGTGAACGCCTTTAGCCTTAATAACAATGTAAAACAAAAATACATCCGCGTCATGTTACCTTCTTGCACTCCCCTTTGCTCCAGGTGTGCGCCATGCAGGCCAAGATGTCGGGCAAGATGTACGCCTGCAAGAAGCTGGATAAAAAGCGCCTGAAGAAGAAGAACGGCGAGAAGATGGCGCTGCTCGAGAAGGAGTTGCTCGAGATGGTGAACAGCGCCTTCGTGGTGCAGCTCGCTTACGCGTACGAGACCAAGACGCACCTGTGCCTCACCATGAGCCTCATGAACGGCGGCGACCTCAAGTACCACATCTACGAGATGGGCGAGCTGGGCCTGGAGATGGAGCGCGTCCTCTTCTACGCCGCCCAGATCACCTGCGGCATGCAGCACCTGCACGCCCTGCGCATCATCTACCGCGACATGAAGCCCGAGAACGTGCTGCTGGACGAAGCGGGCCACTGCCGCCTCTCCGACCTGGGCCTCGCCGTGCTGCTCAAGGACGACGGGATGAAGATCACGGAGAGGGTGAGCGCCGGAGAGGGAGAGGAGGAGGAGGTGGAGGACGACGATGACCTAGGCGGAGGGCCTATGGTGTCACGGTGTCGGCGGAAGGATCGGAGAGTGAGAATTGTCGACGTTGCAGTGGGTTTAATTCTCCAGCACACGACCGGTGCGCTGAACTAGTAGCTAATTGGCACGTTTTGTTTACATGACACAAACCTTTACGAATTGGCTGTATCGGGTGGCGATGAGCTCAACGACACACATATTTAACGCGATCTAACCCCGCCCCCCCCCCAAAAACAATCCTTTATTAATGAGGGAAGTTGTTGGCAAATGTAATTATTATTACACCTGAACTTAGCTGGAGGAACCGGGTTTGATTTGGCTCAGCGGTGGAACGGGTGAGGTTGCCAGAACGAAGATGGCATTGTGGGCCAAAGCTCCCTTGGTCGCCACACTCGCAATGCTCGTGTACGTCGGTCATGTGGCAATGCTAACTTTGGCACTGATAGATTATTATTATTACGACACTTTGATGGATTATTATGACCCTTGGACAGATTGTGATCACTCGGCCGCTGGTCGTAGTGCTGACCCTGCTGGCTTCGGTCGACGATGCCGCGTCGACAGTTCGCTGTGACGATGGCGGCAGTACCAAGTTCGCTGTGACGATGGCGGCAGTACCAAGTTAGCTGTGACGATGCCGCGTCGACAGTTCGCTGTGACGATGGCGGCAGTACCAAGTTCGCTGTGACGATGCCGCGTCGACAGTTCGCTGTGACGATGGCGGCAGTACCAAGTTCGGGTCGCTGATTAGGCTATTTCAATATGATTGGCTGTTTCGCTCAGTCAATCAGGGCTTATCCCCAGTTTTCCAACTCAGCTAATGGGAGGCTCCCCACGCCGGATTTGAACCGCAGAGCTATTGAGAGCTAAGCCGGGAACGTCGGTGTTAATTAATTATTTTTAAAAAACACACTTTGCCTCTCGACATCGCCGCAGTTAGTGGTGGTAATGTTGATAATGATGTTTCATTCGATTATCCCTAAGACTATTGTTATCATCGTGTGTAGTGCCGGATGAAGCTAGTACAGGGCCTGTAGCACATGTTATAAAGGGGCCCCTAAATAAAACACATTAATATTAAAATAGTAAAGTAATTGTATTTTTTCATTTACTATACAGCCAGATAATACGATAAATCGCTAACCTTAAACACCCAGTCGTTCATAAAAGTTGAAGGCGGTATAGTACTATAGTAATAGAGCGAGTGCAGAATCACTGAACCGGAATTGATAGCTTGAAAGCATTTAGCACAAGGCCCTTGAAAGTGCAGGGCCCGTAGCTACTGCTACTACATAGTAGCAGTAGCTACACGTGTGTAGCTACTACTACATGTGTAGCTACTACACATGTAGCTGCTGTTGCTACTACATGTGTAGCTACTACACATGTAGCTACTGTTGCTACTAGGATAATCCGGCACTGATTGTGTGGGAAGTGCTGGCTGTACCGGTTGTTGTCGGTTAACACAAATAATCACTATAATAGAGGTTAATTTTTTGGGTTAAATCGCGTAAATATAAATGTGTGTCGTCACACCCGCCACCACCCGACGCAGCCAATTAGTAAGGTTTGTCACGTTTACTCTCCAACACACCGGTGTACTGAACTAGTAACGGATTGGCATGTTTTGTTTACGTGACAAACCTTACTATATTGGCTGTGGCGGGTTTAACGACACATTTATATTGATGCGATCTAAACCAAAAAAAACCCTCTTATGGATAATATTGGTCGCGAAAGCCAAGGTTTTAAACTGACATAATTATGATGACGCTTCGATATACTGTAGGTAGTTTAAACAGGTCCTTGCAGGGTGGGCTGGTAGGAACATTGGAATTTTTTTTACACCCAACAGCACGAGATTTCACTTCGTTAAAGTATTGAAAGGGGACGGACGGACGGACACATTACTATTGCAGGCTGGTACACTCAGTTTACAACTTCGTTCCTACCAGTATAAAAATGTATTTCTAATTATTTAAAAAAGGGATTGCCTCTTGGTGTCGCCACAGCAGTGGTTGTGACGCCAATAATGACGTTTCATTAGATTACGACTTCGACCATTATTATCATTGTATGGCTAACACTGGCCGTGCCAGTTGTCGGTTAACACAAATAATCACGATGCCGCTTCGATATAGGTCGTTACAACGACTCTGGCCGGCAATGCTGCTGCATTTGCGGTGTGGTGAAACTGATAGCTGATAGCCGAGATGAAGCCACGGTAGCGAGGTGTTAACTCCCTCGCCCGGTATACAGGAGGTCGTGTTATTTAGATCCCGATCCTGACGCCTGTTATATATTTGGAGTTTGCGGTGTCTCTCTCTCTCTCCCTGTGGTCGCGTGGATTTTTCTCCGGCTCCTCCGGTTGGTTTTCCCCCCTTGACGCTTAGAATCAACGTCACGCCGTTTACAGCATTTGGCCGCCGCTATGAATTTTCACACGATGATAAGCCGCTTAGTTGACCTGTCACCTGTGACCAGGTCGCTTCCGACAAAGGAGCTGCGGAGCTCAGTGGGCCTTACCTGCTGGCATTTTTTTCATAACAATAATAATAGTGATAAGAATTTTAGTTTAAGTAATTGAGGCTTCTGATGACTGCGTGCCCCACGTTAGGCTGGCACCAATGGCTATATGGCCCCCGAGGTGATCAACGGGGAGGGATACACCTACAGCTGCGACTGGTTCTCCCTGGGCTGCACCATCTACGAGATGATCGCCGGGCGGACGCCCTTCAAGGGCCACAAGGAGAAGGTGACCAAGGACGAGGTGCGCCGGAGAACGCTGGAGGACAACGTGGCCTACTTACACCGAAACTTCTGCCCCAACTCCAAGAACATCTGTGACCAGCTGTTGGCCAAAAAGCCAGCAAACAGGCTGGGCTGCCGGTGAGGAGCCAATTTGATGGATGAATTACTCGGTCAGACCTTGATAGAGCAGTATTCCTTCCACGTAAGACTCATGGAAGGCTTACATTGAGTGAACTGCAGTTGAAGTACCGTCAAGTAAATCTGTATTCGAAAACAATAAAAACGTGAAGTGCAATTACAGAGTCAAAGTGATCTCTTTGCGATAATTGCCGTATCGCACGTTTCACGTCGTATCTGGAAAATGATTTCATCGCAACCTCACTCGTAATCTCGATCTAGCCGTTCTACCTACCTTCTTCTCCACCACCAACCCACCACCACCACCAACTAAAATCCATGCCTAATGCCTCCATCCCTCCCATTAACCCGGCAACCTGAGTTTGAATGCTCAGCCACAGCTAACATCACATCATAACCAGTCTTTGGTCACCTAGATAGGAATGGTCCAGCACTGCTCGGGTCTGTTTTCCCCTATTCATGATAACTTAGCACTTAGTCACTCCACGATTTACATCCTTGTCATATTCAATTTAACCAATCTACCTACCTTCTCCACCGCCAACTGACCACTACCAACCCAAACCCTCCCCCAATGTCCCCCCACCCCCGTCCCCCATCCTTCCTCCTGGCCTGTCCTTCAAACAGCGGTGACGACGACAACCCGCGCAAGCACCCGTACTTCCAAAGCATCAACTTCTTCCGGCTGGAGGCCGGGCTGGTGAATCCGCCATTCGTGCCCGACCCCGGCAAGGTGTACGCCAAGGACATCAGCGACATCATGGAGTTCTCGGAGGCCAAGGGCATCGAGATCAACGAGAAGGACCAGATGTTCTACTCAAAGTTCTCCACGGGCTGCATCCCGGCGACCTGGCAGGAGGAGATGATCGAGACGGGCCTCTTCGAGGAGCTCAACGACCCCAACCGCGTCGTGGACGTCGAGAAGGGCCGCATGAGCAACGGCAACCGATCGAGCACCTGCATCCTGCTGTAGGCCTCACGGCCCTGCCAAGCTCTGTCGCTGTGTGTGCGTGTGGCCTGCAAAGCGCGGCCGATGACTGACGGGGGGAGGGGGGTGAATGTGTGCTGAGAGTCTTTGGCGCATTCCGCAAATATCTGAAATTCGGGCCCTCGGTACGAAGTTTCGGACTCTCCTTCTTTGCGCCTGGATGAACGTAAAAAAAAACACGCCCGAAAGCAATTTAGATGTTTAGGTCGAGTTTAATTGAGCCGATTGATGGAGTTTGTGGAGGTGTTGCGCAGCTCCTCCGTTCATCGGTCGAGCGATGGTGTGGAGCAGTGAGTCGGGTAGGACACGATCCGATACTATATTGCATTGCCCTTTGAATAAACAACAAAATACAGCCATAATGCAGGTTTATTTTTGGGTTAGATCGCGTAAATATAAAAGTGTCGTTAAACCCGCCACCACTCGACACAGCCAATTAGTAAGGTTTGTCACGTAAACAGAACATGCCAATACGTCACTAGTACAGCACACCGGTGTGTTGGAGAGCAAATCCACAACATTTACAATCTTGAGTACGACGTTTTGCCAGTAATTACAACTGGCATTATCATGCGAACAGCCGGATTTGTGGAGAAACCCTCCTGTTTCGTTCCTTAAATAGAGGGGTAGATGTGGTTTCGTCACTTGTGAGCACTTCTTGCGCGAAGTGGGTAGGGGAATTAACGACGCACATAACTTACAACGGATATCCATTGCCTGGCTGGGTTATTTGTATGGTAATCAACGTACATTGTGCATGCACATTACAGCATTGCCCTTTGATTATCCAGGATATTCTCAGGAGGGTCCCACATTGAGGGTTGTTTTGGGCCGTTTCTGTTGATGAGCGTTTGGCTTCATTGTGTGGGGGGAAACCCGGAGCGACTGGAGAAAGCCCAAAATGCACACAGGCGGGGTAACGCTTAAAGCGCCGCACAGATAGATTTAAGAAGCCATTGCTGCTGTGCTGCCACCTCGATACTTTGGAGCTCATCATGAGGCTTGTGGATCAGAATGTGCGACTTGGGGCATCGGTGTTTGAAGTAATATCCGCTTCTTGGAAAATGAATATTAAATATAAAACGCAGTGGAGACATTTAAGCAATATATGGCAGATCGATGATATGTATAAATATCTATATATGAATGAGTACATAACAGCAAAAATATATTATATATGTGTACAAACTCAAATTAATCTATAGCCATAAGTAAAATCCATGCACCAAAGGTGCTTGGTAGTGAGTGACTCCAAATGGTATTTAGACTTAAAACTTTCGTGACTGCAGGAATTCATATTCTTGGTTCTTTCGGTCAAGTCACGTAGAGAGAAAACAAAAATCTAAATTAAAAGCAGAAAAATCCATGACGTTTAGATCGCAACACAAGCTGTCTTCTTCAGGTGGAGAGAGAAAAGAAGAAGACCGCTTGTCTTGCGATCAAAACTTCGTGGGTTTTTTGGTTTTAATGTTGATTTTTGTTTTCTATCTACGTGACTTTACCGAAAGAACCAAGAATATATAATGTAATAATAGGGTTTTTCCCCTTTTTTCTGGCAACAAAACTGAAACCTTTTTAAAAAGGATTCATGTCTGCATTAACCACAATACCTGCAGTCAAAATGCAAACAACAACATACTATGATAATATATGCATTGTCCTTGAAACTGATTGGTCCACACCAAGGAACGGCTTTCAAGGACAATGCATATATTATCATAGTATGTTTTTTTGTTTGCATATTGACTGCAGGTATTGTGGTTAATGCAGACATGAATCCTTGTAAAAAGGTTTCAGTTTTGTTGCCAGAAAAAAGGGGAAAAACCCTATTATTACATTTTGGTACTGGCAAAGGAGGTCTAATGATGAAATATATATATATAGTATTTGGTCCATATTTCTAATTAATGTACAGCGATATGGGATCCTGTTTGCTTGAATGATGCTATATAAAATGAAAGTCTTATTATACCATGTGTACAATATTTTAATATAGCGACCTCTGCTGTGAGCAATAGTCATGTGAGTAGCTATATGCTTGTTGTGCAGTGACAAGGCTTAGACATAATTGTGTGTTGTGATAAAACTGAAAGTGTGTTAGTCAGAATGGCAGTGTCTTCTTTACGTGTATAGTTTAACTGTGCGTGTGTTTATAGTCGTCTGCGTTCAGTTAGCCTCTCTCCTGTCGATATAGAAACGATGTGGTGCCACGGACGCGGAGCAACTCCGCACGCGCCGCGACTCCCCCCTGGCCCCCGCACTGAGCACACACACACACGCAGCGCACATACGTAGTGTCCTGCCGCCGGGGGATTGCCTGGCACATCGGGTTTTAATCCGAAGGGCCCCTGGAGGGAAAGTCCCACGGTTTCCCGGTGCCAGGAGATTGGCCGACCCTCGCAGGACAGGTTACATTGCGGTGCCCCTACATTGGTTTAAAATTGTGTGGGCGCAGAAAGAAAAGATTCACTGTGCCAACCGCAATAAGTTATTCACGGCATTGGGGTGGGGGGGGAGGAGGACTGAAGGTGGAATATTAAGCAAGAAGAGCATGAGGTCAGGAGAATCGCAGCGCCACTGCTGCCCCCCATCTCGGCCCTCATACCGAATACACACTCTCAATGTGTGTGTTCACCAGCCGGGCACCCTTCCAGATACCCCGCAGCGAGGGGCAATGGGTGGCCGGCGCTGCCACTGTGGCACTCGACGGAGGACACTAACAGGGCGGGGGGGGGGGGTAACCACAGGTAAGCGCGCACGATTGGCTGCGCGGTGCAACGTCATCCTGGGCCTTTGAAGTTAAGGGAATAAAAAGAGCGGCCCGGGACGATTTTCGCTCTCTTGTCTTCAACCTCTGGGCCGTCAAGACCCACTCCCTGCCATCCTGCCTCCTCGAGCCGCTCGCAGCATCCGTGTGATGCCAGCGAGTGCTGCTACGAGGCAGGGATAGGTAAAGTTTTCTCTCACCCTTCTCCCTCGACTCTCACAGCGTCCTTGCGACTCCGTGAGTACAGTTTCGAGGTACGTGGTAGGACGTTTGAGTGACTGGGCACTCAGGCAGCAATAGGCTAGGCTCTTCTCGCGAAATATTCCCTCTCCAGGTAGTGTGTATTTGCGCAGCGAATAAAAGTTAGCACAGAGCATCGGTGTGGTGTCGGTAATTTGTGTGTGGAGCGACTGCGTGCGGAGCGACGCATTGCGAGAGGAGTGAACGCGGAGCCGCAGCGTGCGCGCGCGTGCTAGGACACAATCGCCCGCAGGTGCGCGCGTGTTCGCGCCGCCGCATTAGCGTTAGCTGTGGGGTGTGCGCGTGTGAAGAGGGAATCGCCCACAGGTGTGGGTGCGGTCGTGCAGCTGCGCGCCGCGTTGGCGTGAGTGGTGGTGTACACGGGCGGGTGTGCGGGTTAACTCCGTGTGGCGGTGAGTCAGCAGTAGAGCCACGTCCCTCGGGGCGCTAGGGGGGTGGGGGGGGGTGCGATCACTCGGTCGGCGGGGGCCCTGCGGGAGCCGATCGACGCGATGAAGGAGGGAGCGGAAAGGGGGCGGACGTTGCCCCCCACCTGCCCAGCGAGGGCGATGGGGTGACGTCGGCCCCACAACGACTGAATCCAACTATACGTCTAAGTGCCACGCCGACACACCCCATATCAATGTCCCGCTCATATAAATGTCTTTCTCTCTACCAAACTGTAATTCATTTTCGTTTTTTCTCGGTTTTTTTTTGCCATTTCCCCCGCCGACTTTACTGTTGACGGCGTCGCGTCACGAGATGGAGAACTCATTCGCGTCTCCCGCACGGTGCAAGAGAATGGCCCCGCAAGAAGTATAAATTGCATAACTACCCTCTAAACCCAACCCACGCTGAACGGCGTGGTGAAGGATGGGCATTTAGCCTCCATGACGAGCATGGCGTGGAGAGGCGTTCGTCCAGTATTGGATTGGACACAAAACTTCATTTATTTTAGTTTTGCCGTTTTCCCCAATTATATCCTGATTTTTGCTATCAGTCTCACGGGACTCAAAATCTTGCAGGGCAAAGTGACCCATCGCGTTAGAGAACGGTCCATGGAAGTAGATGTCGCAAAACTAGCTCTGAAATCCCAAATGCATGTGACCTCTGGTCACCCACTCTGCAACCGAGAGTAGTGTGTGTCACGTGACAGGCCGTATTCGATTGACGAACTTTCATTTAGCGATGCGACCCAGAAGGTTGAAAACCGGTCAAGTGAAATGCTGCTGGATAAACAGAAGCCCAGACATCCTGTCGCGAGTATTGAATTTAAACAAAAATATGTGAAGCGATGAAAGGAAAGTGTGTTTTATTTATATCATTTATTGGCAACTGATATTCGTGGCCAGGAATAGAACGCGTCATTTGGTCTGGGTGATCAAGTGGTCCAGGTATTTAACGGCACATCACAGGGTGGACATCGGACACCCCTGCACTAATCTGGGAGGACCTTCATGAGCCAAACTTCTGCAAGACATGTGGCTGCTGGTGCTGGTGGTGCTGATGCAGAAGATGGATATTTTAATCTTGATTTGAAGCTTTCGAGACTGCAGGAATCCATACTCTTTGGTTCTTTCGATAAAGTCACGTAGGTAGAAAATAAAATAAATCACGTGACTTTACCGAAAGAACCAAAGAGTTTGGATATTTTATTTTCCCAGTTGATTGCCTTGCGCTCATAGGTTCACCCAAAACAGTGGCATGGGTGTGTATAACGATGCACCCACACTCTCACTTCCATACTATAGGTACACGTCATTAGTATCTGGATGCAAATTAATGAGTGCATCTCCTCGTTACATTTTATATTTTAGTTTTTGACATTAAGACCAGGATACAAATTAGATGTTTTTCAACCATTTAGTTATCGACATATTCTCAATGCAATGTATTAAGTTGTTTTACATGTTTCATGTCCAAAGTATTTTTTTTCCTATTTATCAGCACAGTATTATTAATGCATTCACACAGTAATGGTAAATTACACTCCTTTCTCAATCAAGGTTCATGTCGAGGACTCCCCATGTGCCTTGTCAGTTATGTCGTTTCGCCATACTTCACCACGCTGTTCAATGGGACAGGTTCAGATGCTGTATATCACTCGGGATTCGGCAGATGCAACTCTCTCGTGAAATCATTGGAGGGGGGCTTCGAAGCAACCGGACAATGTGTGCTTGTAGGGAGAAGCAAACCACGTGGACCATCTCCTGAGATGCCCTGCAGCACCCACAATGCCACTCTTCAAGATGTGTTAATACCAACCACCAGAAGCCGGTGGCCTGTGCAGAATATTGGGGCAAGAGCATAGAGGTTGGACAGGCGACACGAAGTTTAACACGTAGTAGGCTTTCGTGACCAATATCATCCATAATAGAGTGTTTTTTTTTTGTTAGATCGCGAAAATATATAAATGTGTCGTTGAACCCGCCACCACCCGACACAGCC